CTCACTGGTAGCTTGCCTAGCATGCTCAAGGCCTTGGATTTGATCTGTAGTGCCACAACAAATCAACAGGGTTGCTATAATCCAGGTCAGAAGAGAGCCTCATCAGAGGTTGCTTCATTGGGGTATAAGAGCTTAGATAGCATTCTCAGAATAGAAAATAGAACAGGAAGAATATTCTAGAAGAATATGTGGGGGTTTTTGTTTTGTTTTTAGATATTTTGAGTTGGAGTGCTTAGCATAACTAAGTGAACAAAATTAGGAATGTTGTGATTCTCCATTTTAGGAAAGAAATCTAGACCAGGATATTGCTAAGAGTTAACCAGGAATATAAATAAGGTAGCCAAGGGAAGATAAAGGGTAAGAAAAGTAAAACAGTCCTAACAACCACCAACATAGAGTTGAGAAGTATTTTCTTATATTTTATAGAAATTAGAGTAGAAGAAGAAAGGTCAGGGGAGTGGGGCTAGGAAAGTCAAGAGACGAGAGTTTCAAGAAAGAGGTAGCACCAAGGAAAAAAAACAGAATAGATTTGCAAATATACAAAAGCACTTATCCTTCTACTCAGGGAAATAAAAATTGGAAGGAAATATTTTTACTTATTAGATTGAAGAAAATTAGTTTTCACTGTAACAACTTTTTTAGAAGACACTTAGGTAGCATCTTAAAATTTAAATTGCAAATACCCTTTAACCCAGCAATTTCATTCCTAGGTCTGTGTCCTAAAGACATAGTTACATCTGTACAAAAATGTTTACAATAATGTTAATTATATTTATTAATGCCTATAATACTGAAAAATCAGAAATGGCCATCAGTAGAGAAATGTTTAAACTGGTACATCCATATTGTTTGGACTACTGTGTAGCAGTTCAGAATAACATGGAAGAATCTTCCAAGTAATGTTAAATTTTTTAAAATATAGAATACCATACAGAAAAACCATATTGTTATTTATGTGTGTTTGAGTGTCCCAAACTAAATGAGGGCAGAGTGCAGAAGAATTTGAAGAGAGATTAGATAGGCCATTTGAAGGATTTCTGTCAATTTGTGCATTTTTTAAAAGGCATTAATAACACGGAGAGGTTGGGAAAGAAAGACTTGGTATTTTTTTTCAGACAGTAATTAGGAAATGATCATATAATAGTAAATTTGAGGGTTAATAAAACGAATTTCATCATCTCAAGAATTAATTAGGAATCAAGAATTAATTGGGAGGAACATGAATGAATTAAATGTTGTTTCAAGCAGCTTCAAGTTGGTGAGAAAATATTTCTAAAGGGACCAGAGAAGAGCCAGGGGGCAAATGCTGGGAAAAGAGAAGGTGGAGCCACAGGGGAGCTGAGGGATAGATCCCTGTGGAGGTAAAGGAAATGGGAATCATTAAGAATGCAGGTAAAATGGAGGGGAAATGGGTATGTCAGAAAGTTGACACGATAATAGCTTCTTGAGTAAAAGCAGTAAGGAGATGAAACTGCCAGTGCGGAGAATAAAGGGAGAACCTGACCTGAGACTAGCAGTTGCTAGAAGGCTAAAGCAGTCAGTCACTTCAAAGTTGTTAATAATTTTCCAAAGTAACCTCTGGCCTCAGCCTAACCATAGAGAAATGGATAGTTAGACCAATTCAGAGTTGTGGCTTACAGGGGAAGAACAAGGGACATGAGGGTAACTTAAACAATAGACTATATTTGCAAAGGTTGGTCAGCTACAGCCTATGAACTAAATCCATCATACCACTTGGTTTTCTTAATAGTTGGAGAGAGCTGAAACTATTTACATTATAATACTTTACCAAAAAAAAGTTTCTGGCCCTGAACTGTGATAGAAATTAAGCAGAAGGATGCTTATAAGATTGTGAGCAATTGGTGTTGGGCTTAGAAGTCAAGTAGCAGGTATAATGGGACTGAGAAAGAAACTTGACAAATGAGATTGAAATTTAGTCATTTTTAGGAGTTGAGGACTGCTGAGACCTCTTAAATGTTAGTGAATTTACCGGGGAGAGGATTCAGTGGATTAGAGAGGCTGAAGCTCAAATTGTGGAATTATAGATAAAATGTTGGCTGATGTTAACAGAGAAGAAAGGATATATCAAAAGATGGTTCACAGAGCCAGGCACTGTGATACACACCTGTAATCCCAGTTACTTGGGAGGCTAAGGCAGGAAAATCACAAGTTCAAGGCCAGCTTTAGCAGCTTATGAAGCCCTGTCTCAAAAAAATTTTAAAAAGATGAAGATCCAAGGAGGTAAACCAATGGTAAACCACCCCTAGGTTCAGTCCCCTGTACAGAAAAAAGAAAAAAGCAATATTACAGATGATTAGTTAAAGAAGTTAACAGAAATGTTTTCTTAACCCATATTTATTGCCCATACTGCCAGTTTATAAAGCACTGAGAATGTCTGCATGTTCATTTTCTTTGTGTACCGTGTTCCAAAAGTGCTTATTTGCAATACAAATGAGTACTCTTCAAATATACATGCAGCTGTTTGTGCATATTCAGAGACAGAATCTTGGATTTTAAATTCTTTAAATGTTTTTTTCCTTTTTTCTATAGGTATATGAAAATTATCCTGCTTATGATTTAACTGAGAGAAAAGACTTCATAAAAACAACTGTAAAAGAGGTAAATATTTTAGTCTTTTTATAGTTTGATCATTTGGGACATAGAAGACAAAATAAATATATTTTGTATATTTTTCTACTGTATTTTTATCATTAAATATCACATTTGATCCTCATTTATTCAAAATAGATGGGAATGTATATAAAATAAAGTTTGAACAATTAGTGATAGAATCTGAACTCAGATTAGATGTGAATTCACAGTGTACCTAGTAGCGAGGCATCTCAAGAGTTGCTCAAAAAATGTCAGGGCAAATTCTTCTGGCTAGTACAAGGTAGGGGAGATCCATAGTAGTTGCAGTTTTATGTTGACCCACCTGATTTTCCAAGGTCACAGTAATAAAACATGTTAAAAACAAAAATGGGGTCAAGTTTTATGATTTATGTATACTTAATATTCTGTGTTGGGCAAGGTAAAATAATGTTTTTCTTTCATTACAGCTAATTTCTTGAGATACAGGACAGAGACAGATGACTTGTTCCCATAGATTTGAAGATCTGATTTATACCATTATACCAGCAAAGAGAATGTATTTCCTTTTCTAAATTCTCGTTAAGGATTACTGCTGACCTTTTTTTTATCTTGAGTGTTACATAAATCAGTTTGCCGCTTTAAATTGCATTTCTATGCAGTTTTTAGTTTAAAATCTTGCATGGCAGTAATTGTTCCTTGCTTTTATAGTTGTACTTTGTACATTTTGGATTTCTTTATATAAGGTCATAGATTCCTGAAGTGTTGTGGGTTTTAGTGCACTTAACATTAGACTGCTTAAGACATATTTTAATCAAGTAGAACAAAACTATTATAGCCAGCATTTATACATGCAGAGAATTGCAGTATTTACTATATTTTGAATACACATTTTCTTCTGTCAATGTGAAAACTCAATGGCGGTGTGCTCATCTTTAACAAGTTACAGCTAGCCAAGTGACTAAATTGGAACTTTCTTCTGTATGTGTATATATGTCAAATTGTCAGCATGACAGAAATGACAGATGTTATTTTTGTATTTTTAAAAAACCAATTTGTTGTATATAAAGTTTTTTTTATTTCTTTTGTGCAGATCAGTTTTTAAATTCAACATAGGTAGGGACCTTTATTTACACTTGTAAACTATGAAATGTCAGTGTTTGGCGAGATGGAGTGACAGAGCAGGGGAAGTCAGAATTCAGTGATGGGAACACTGAAGGAACTGTCTAGTTCTGCTATGCCTCGAAAAGTGTCATCCATCTATAGTTTGTGTTAACTCTGCAAAAGTGTCTGTGGACGCATTTTATATTAAGGACAGACCAAAATCAACACATCAAAGCTTCAAAAACTTTGGGAAAGGGTGGGCTTGAGTACAAGCACATTTGGCTTATAGTAAATGAACTAATTTTATTAACTGATTTTGACCATATAAAATGCTGATATTTACAGGAAATCTGGCCACCTTCATAATTATGATAAAAGTACGAGGTGTAATGCCAGAAGATAATGTGTAGGTAATAGCAGATACCTGACAGTTTCTCAAAAGTAATATTTTTAACCTTAAAGAAATTTAATGTGGAATCAGGGCTCTTGCGTTTTAAATTTTGGCCAATCAAGATTCAAAGTGATCAACATGTGGACCACTCCTGGTCATATCCATGTCCCCCCCCCCCACCACCACCACCACCACCCTGTACTGGGGATGGAACCCAGGGGTGTTCCAACACTGAGTTATATCCTCAGCCCTTTTTTGAGACAGGATGTTACCAAGTTGCCTAGACTGGTCTCAAACTTGTGATCCTCCTGCTTCAGCCTCCTAGTAGCTGGGATTATAGGCTTTCATCACTGTACCCAGCCCACTCCTGAATTATAAGACTAAATTTTGTCTTTTAAATTAATGGTCTTAATCAGTTTAAACATGCTGCCTATGACAGATATTTGATGTACCAATTGAAGTGTTTAAAAAACTTTGCATCATAGAAATGTATATATAAGTGATTTAACAGGTATTTTCACAGGTTAGTTTCTTGATAAAGTTAGGACATTAGGGGAAAGCATACTTAATACAAGTGAATGGAATAAGCAACGAAGACCTAAAAATTGACCTTTGATTTTAAATATCTGTTCTTACAAACCTTGTCAATAAAAATAGTGATGTTTTAAGTCTCTTGAATTTGATGTTTTAACTTATTATGTGTTTACATATCATTTCCCCCTTATAGTAAAAGTTTTTAAATGGCTTTAGCCCCATAACATAATTTGATGAGCACTACAGTTAACTATTTCATAACCCATTACTATAAAGGGGATAAGAATGTGTGTGCGCAGGTGAGGAGACTGAGGTGGGTGTGAGTTCTTGGTGATGAAATGCCCAGTTAGAGCATTTACCACTGCAGCACAGACACAGAGCATATTTGAAAAAGTCTAGTTTTTATTAAGCAGTTTTACACAACCAGCTATTTGTGATCAGCAAGTTAAATTACTGTAAAAGTGTGTATTCGCTGCTACTCAATTACAAAATCTTGGGACAACACTGAAAAACATTCAAAGTAACTCAATTAAAGAAAAGTACCATATCTCCTTAAAGAACAAAATGTCAAAATATAGGTCATTTAAGACAGTTATTTTAAATACACATTTACCATCTTTTAAGTAGGGTTTTTCCTACTTGTAGCACAGTAGCCTTAAGTGCTCAGAAAGTAAAGTAATAATTTACTGTGAACCATTTCAAACATTTTGCATTTATCATCACTTAACATAATGCATGCTGTTTAAACATTTAAAACAATACTTTAAAGCAGAATACCTCCTAATCAGTACCAATGAGTCTCAACTTAAACATCAATGTTTCCTAATTTTTGAAACATATAGCTCTTGGCTTTGTTTGTATCATACTTTGGGGAGGGGGTGGCGTGTATGTGTGTGTCTGAAGTTCACTGTACACTGTTTGAATGATATTCTTTGTTCTTACAAAGTGATTTTTTTGAAAAGTTCCTATTTTTAAAAGTGGCTTTAAAAGCAGACCAATATAATTCAAAGAATTGTTCAAAAATTTTTAAATAAGCTTATTTTCAACCTGTAAACTAAAGTTTCTTGACAAAATAGGTATCTTGAAGACCTTAAAACCCATGTTTATCAATTTAAGTGGAAAAAGTAAATACTTACCGTGTTGTAGGCTTTTATAAATGTAATATTTACCAAGATAACTCACATTTTTTGCAGTTTTCCAATGGACCTGCCTATGGAAAACTAAACATAATTATACAAAAATTATGAATCTGTTTTATGATTCCCGAATCATAATACTGAGTAATAGTGATTGCCAAAATTAAGGATACTCCAGATTTGAATGTGTAGCACTTTAAGAAAAATAGCTATATCCTGTGTCATGGTGTGAAGATAACACACTGCACCCCATTCTAAATGGGGGGGGGTATTCTAAGGGATTAAGATTTTTGTTTTGCCAATGATTATGCAAATCTCTAAAATATCTCCAAAGATAAACTGAATTTTTCTTTTGAATTTTCAATGGGGAGAAATGTTATAAAATAGAAGCTTCATTTAACTTTAACTGGAAATTAATGTATCAAAAAAAGTTTGATTTTAAGTTCAATATTGGATCCATATAAAAATATTAAGGCTCATTGGTAAAGATACTGATACATTTTCACAGAAGACAGACATGGTTTTATCTAGTATGTTGTTTTTCCTGCTTGTTTAACTTGGTTTCACAATGTATGAAAACTGATCAGCCAAAAAAACTGTCAAATCTGAAGGGAACCTCCAAATCATGGAAGAACCACACTCAAGGTCTCAACTTAAGGTTATATTCTGCCTTACTCTGAAACCCAGAAGACAGCATATTTGGACCTATAGAAGATGCAATTAAATGTAAGTGCTCATAAGGATTTTGGGGGAGCTCATGCTTTCAGAGTGGTGGCATGGGTTTGCACCTATCAAGAGTTCCCCCTTATAAAATTGAGGTTGAACATGTGTTTCAAACTTTCCCACTTGGGATACAGAAAGAAAAGCAGGGTCCAAATTCTCTTCAAAAGGCTGCAATCTTGCTTGCTTCTCGAACACCACTCAAATATGCCCCTGTAACAGTTTGTGGAAAATGCCTGTTCGTCGCCTATTAAAAAAAAAAAAAAAAAAAAAATTACATAATTTGAACTCATGCATGAAGAGTTCAATATAAGCTTATACTTTCTCTGATCTTCCTAAAGTAAGACTCCTGTCCCAATCTGTGTGCTCACAATAACACTTCTCACCCATCACAGCATTTGAAATTCTTTGGTTATCTTGCCATGCTTTGCCCAACTTGCTAATTCTACAACATTCTGTCCTGCCTGTGTGACATTCATTAAAATATTAGGTATCTGTGTGAGGTACTGGATTGAAAACAATGAATACTGGTGGGGGGTAGCAACACAGGCCTTAGGGAAATGGGTTTTTAGTGGGTGAATTATGATAATCATCAAAGGAAAGCTAGAGCAGCCTAAATCCTGCTTGTGACCCTTAAATACCTTACCCTAAAATAGCCATGTCTTGCAAATGGCTGACCGTTGTCTGTGTGCAGCCATGTGCCCTTCCTGCAGTGGGCTCCTCAGAGGCCCAAGAGTAGTCAATCCATCTGGGTTTAAGATGACATTCTTTTATTCTTTTATAATTACCCAAAAATCACAGGAAAAAAACATCATCAACTGTTTTCTAAAATAAACAGGGAGACATGTAACCCTAAACTGTAATATAATAAATGTAACGACTACAAAATGGTTCCTCAAAGAAACCCTAGAAAACCTCAGCTGTTAGGGGCATGAGGAACTATGGAGGCAGAGAGTAGTTTCAGAGGAAAACAGGATTGGTATAAAGACTGGCAAAAGCCCCTCAACAAGACCACTCTTCAAGAGACCCCTTATGTCACTTGGAAACTGGAGTAACAAGAGGTTCCTGCTTCCACCACACAAACTAAATGTCCCAAGGCACTGATGTGGAGTCCAACCACCAGTTGATGAACTTGCTGAAGCTGTCAAATCTTAAGCTCAAAGTCAAGGGTGGGGCACTTGGACACACAGCAGGTAGACTACAGCACACAGAATAGAAAGTCTGAGGAAACTCCAGGAAGAAGTCAAAAACCAAGTCTTAATAACCTTAGTTAAGAAACAAGCTATGGAGTAAGAAGAAGGCACTGAGAACAAGAAAGCACTCTGAAATATAAGAGCCAATTTAACAGCTGGGAGATACCATCACACCCACACTCCCCTCCAAAATCCCCCAAAGCAGAAAAGAAACGAAGAACAATAAAGAGAAATATCAGTTGATCTGAGTTCCAGGACAGCAGATCTAATAGTGAAAGTAAAAACTGGAGAATCATCAAGAAATGAAAAAAGACAGGACCAGAAACAGAACAACAGCATTTTCAACAAATAAATCAGAGAAAAGCAGATCTTGGAGCAAAGGCCCAACACTGAGAGTGGTTTAAAGACTCAGCAGGCCCTACAGCAAGCCCCCAGACTGGAACCAGGAAGGACTGCAGGAGGGGGAGGGGGAGGGGGAGGTCAGAGGCTGAAGTAACGGGCCAGCTCAGACTGGACTGAAATCAGATGTGTGAAGGGGACAGGGACCAAAACAGGATAATGACCAAAGAAGCAATTGATGTTGGCCAAGATGGAATCCACAGACACCCTGGCTCAGCAGCACACATTTGCATAGAAACACCCACCAATCTAACTGAAGTGCTGCAGACTAAATGTGTTGAATCTTTAATCTGACAGCTAGTCAATAAACACTTCTGTCTAATGTTAAGTCAGAAGACAGCGATATAAACATAATTTTTAAGATAGGAAGGAAAGTCCTGGAAAAATGGCTGGAAGAGTTTAAAATGACTGCCTCTGGGAGTGTGAGAAGGCTTCCATTTGTTGTCTTAAGATGCTGAACAGTATTTGACATAATGGTCTTTAAACTCTGGATGGCAATTGTTTTAATTATAATAAAAATCAAAATATAACTGAATTTTGAATTGAGACACACACCTCACCCGCAAAAAAGACAGTTCCTTGTATATCTTCAGCGATGATATCATAGGCCTCACCACTTCCAAAGGTCTTCACAAAACTGTATGCCATCTGGATCCATGGCTCTGTGCTCCACCGAGTGACAAAATACTTTGTGGGCTCTGGGACCTCCTATGTCCAACAGAAAGGAATCATAAAACAGGATCAAGGAAGAACTTGGGCACAGTGTACCCCCAATTATAAATGCACATTTCTCCCTCAGGGTGTGGCCTGCCTTCATCCTCTAGCACTATGAACATCCATGTTCCTCTTACCCCATAAACGTGTTCCCTGCCCAGCCACACACAACTCCCTTGCTTCCACACTTCACCCTGCCAGAGACGACATCTGCCTACCTTCTGGGTGCTATCACCAGTGGTCAAGAGTTCAAGTCACCCTGGGCCAATGCTTGGCACATGTGGGGAGCCACAATGAGTTACCACGCCTTCCAGTCCAGACGCATGGGGATCTGAAAGATCCTTACCCCCGCTTGGATAGCAAGCCCAGTCTTCTGAGTCGGCATACTCTGGGGTTGAGCTACACTCACCTATTCTCTTATAATCCTACCCCTTCCCCCTGTTTGGAATAGAATGTTCCATGGAAACTCCCTTCTCTTGCTCTGCCTTTGGGTGTGGCCTTCTTAGATATCAGTCAATCTGCTGACAGCAGACATGACCCTAGATTCAACCTCATGAAACCTGACCCCTTGCCTCATTTGAATGGCTTCTCTCCAGTAAAAGGGTTCAGCACGTGCTCGCCCTCTCTGTCCAGGGACCCCTGAGGTCAGAGGAGGTGTCACAGGACCCAGGGAAAAAGGTATTTCTGTCTCTTGTGTGATTATTTGGACAGTGTGACTATTTGGAAACTGGGTCTTTAATGAGAAGTTAAAATGAGGTTGTTGTTGTGGGCCTAATCCAGTGTAACTGGTGTATGTCCTTATAAAAAGGGGAGATGACAACACATACTACAGAGGGAAGAGCATAACAGGACCCAGAGAGCGGAGGGCCATCAGCAAGCCATGGAGAAAGGCATCTAAAGCCCAAGTCTGCTGTCACCTTGATCTTGGATTTCCAGTCTCCAGAACCGTACAAGTAACTTTCTGTTGCTAAGCCACGGTCCTGTGATTTCCTGTTAGGTCAGTCCTGGCAAACTCATCTAGGCACTTAAGTGGAGAAAGAATGGGGCCCCCTGCATCCTTAGCCATTCAACAGCACTGGGTCCCTCCCACTAGGGAAAGCAGGTCCTTCTTTCAAGAAGGCTTCTCTGACCTGCTCCTTGAACAGCTCCCGGAGGGTGGCCATGCACTGCTGCAGCACCTGCTTGTCATCCAGGGTCCTCACGGATGCTACTGCCTCTCCTGCGATCACTGACATCAGCACGCTTTGCTGCTTCTGGAGGCAGGAAGGAACAGCAGTTGAAGTGTTTTGCTTCTGGTACAAACATTTAAGGCTCAGTTCCGGACAAGGGCCTCATCCTCCAAGCTCAATTTTATAACTTCAACTGTCCCTTATCCTCCCTCCAATCTCCTATCCATTCTCCTCAAACATATGCTACTCACCCACCTGTTCCACTGTTCCCTGGTGGGACAGGAAATACTGCAAAAATAAAATTTAGGGTTCCTTTTGCTGTTCACATACAAAACCTTGCTTCAGAAGGAGTAGGAAGTGATTGAGGGGAAATTACAAAACAATGAGAAGAAAACAAGTGGTAATAGAAGCTTGCCCTTGGCTCCTACGTGAAACTTTAAGAGAAAGTCTCTTGGAACTGAGAGAGCAGGAAATGACAGCTGTGACCAGTGTGTGGCAGCTGCAAGGGAATCCAGCAACTGCTCACTCCAGGTGTGCCCCCCCCCACCCCCAAGAGACCAACCACCTCCTGCCCTCCGTACCCACCACAAGACCCTTAGGAAGGGTCAAGCTCACTCTTGACTATGCTGCCACCAACTTTACCTAGAGGATGTCTCCCTCAGCCTGCAGTGCTCGTTTCCACAAGCAACAATTCGTGCCCAAAAAAGCAACATTAGTCCTTCAGAAAACAGCAAATATCAGGGTTCCTTTCCACTGGAAAATGTCCCAGGCCAGGTGACCTCCCAGAAAGGAACTATCAAGAATCTCCGCAATGTTCATTCATTCCTGAGCCTGACACGTGAATAATTAATTACATTCTAAACCTGGAGATGTGAATTTGAACCACACTTCACACATGATTTTTACCTGGGGATCCATGTCATAGTATACAGCAAAGAGCCCTCGCTGGCTGGCACTGGGAGGAACATGACCAAAAAAGTCAGCCCCTTGAACTTTACTGTCCCAAAATCTATATGGAAATTGCAAGGCGATCTGGAAAGCAAGCAGAGGAGAGATGAAGTGCTTCCTGCACCCAAATCACATGCAGCCTCCAAGCCACCTGCAGCTCATGCCAAAACACACCCTGGTCAACACCCTCTCCACTCCTCTCACCTGTGAGCTTCCTGCCTTCTGCCACCCGGTTCTACACTCCCCTGGATAAAGTCGCCTGCCGGCTAATCCACAGGCTAATCTAAAGATGTACAGCCCTCCTGATGGGGGTCTTAAAGCAGCATGTCACGATCACCCACTCCTCCTGTGTGCAGAGATCCACTGCAGCCCTGGCAGCCTTCTACAGGGGATTCTAAGGGAGAGGAAATAGACCACAGTCCTCCTTGGGACAAATGAGTGGGGGGTGGAACATGAAAGCAGAAAATATAAGAATTGCTCATAGCAAATCCAAATTTTGAATAACAAGATTCATTCTCCTAAAAGTCAAAACTGAGGCTTCAGATAGCCTTTTGTTTTGTTAATGTTCCTTTGTATTCTTCATGAACAATTATTCAAATAAAAAGGAAATCTCTGAGTTGTATTTGGATTAAAACATGACTCCCTACTGCTCCATATCATTTGACAAACTGCTTGAGCTCTGAGGATAAATAAGTTAGGTCTCCTCACCTTTTCAATGATGCCTGCCCCCAAGCTATTGATAGCCTTCATCTTCTTCTCTGACAACGGTGGATTAAACTGAATGGCACCTTTCTGCAGTATGGCCAGTGGTACAGTGACTAATACCTGTGGGAAATAATTAATGGTAAACACACAGCAACTGAACTAACACAACTACTCAGTGGGTTTATTTCCTAGAAGATCAACACTTGAACATTCTCCCCATTTCCAATCAAAAGATCATCAGTATCCCATCTTGTTATGAAAACAAGGGCCGCCATGTGTGATTGTGCAGTTTGTTCACTACAAGGGTCCTTGGCTGAGAAGGGACATCCACATGGAGGAATTTGCATAAAGGTCCTGAAAACTTACAATAATCCTGGGTCAGAAGAGATAGCAGATCCCAGCCCTGAAAAATAGTACTATGAAAGAACATTGTCCAAAATATGGGGCCGGCAGAACTTTTTCTATTGTTTCTGATAAATTCTAATGTGTGGTCAAGCTCTGTCACTATCTCGACCAGGCATCTATAAGATGAAGAAAATACCTGCCCTATTAATGTCAGGACCACATGATGCTCAAGATTAAAAATAAGATATGTTAATATGCTTCATAAATGATGGAGCACATTACAAATGTCAGGGATTAGAGTGATAGTATTGTGTAAAGCCATGTTTTTGTTAGTTTTGGGTTTTGGTACTAGGAATTGAACCCAGGGGCGCTTAACCTCTGAGCCACATCCCCAGCGTTTCTTTATATAAAATATGGGACAGGGTCTCCCTGAGTTGCTTGGGGCCTTGCTAAATTGCTGTGGCTGGCTTTGGACTCATGATCCTCCTGCCTCAGCCTTCCAAGTTGCTGGGATTCCACGAATGCACCACCCTACCCGGTCACAATGAAATTTTTTTTAAGCTGAAAGTAATTTATTACAAAGTCTCATATGGTTCTAAAAAAATCATTTAGAAGGGCTGGTGAAACAGATGCTAAGCTGAGCCTCCAAGAATGATTCTCAAGGCCACATCACAAAAACCAGCCATCAAAGGTGATGCCTCGCCATACCTCAGGCAGTTCTGGCTCCAGAACCACGCTGCCATGAGGAAGCTGCCGCTGCTGCAGCCGGCAGAACCTAGCCCACCCAGAACCGCCCCACCACCACACGCAGCCCCGGGACCTCTGCTCTGTGCTCCAGAAACAAAATGCTGACCACTTGTCAGCAGAGGAGGTGCCAAGGAAGCCACAGCCTCCAGACCCCATGCAGGGCACGTGGCTGGCCAGGCTGACCTCAGCCACAGGGGGCCCGGGAAGAGGGTGTGTGTTCCCAACCCCGCAGCCAGCACCACACGAAGGAAAGCTGGTGGAGCTGAGCAGCAAGCACCCCACCCACCCACCCCAGAGCTCCTGTGCTAACACAGCTGAACCCTCAACTCAGGATCACAAATCTCACAGTTCTTCCTGTGATTTTTTTTTTTCTGCATGAAAACTTTATAAAACATGTCCTTCTCATCCTTAAGAAGTTCACAGTCTGTTTATAAATAACAGCTACCATGTGACCAAAACCATCAAGCAGAAATTAGCCACTGAGCTATGAATAAGAACTGAAAGGAAATAAAGTCTAGATGTCTTCTTACTGAGAAAAGTTTCCCAAAGCATAAGAACTTGGGTAAACAAATGACACAGACACACCCTGGCTGGAAACTGCCACTCAGTCACAGTGGAAGCGGCCTGGATTGAGTTAGTTGGTTAAAGGCTGCGGGTCTACCTACGGTGTTGGGCTGGAAAGCTTTCCCTCACGCATCCAGGAAGACTTCAAACTGCAGTGAGTCCTAGCTACAGAAAAATGAAATATTTGCTTTAAACATTTCAAAACGAAGCCTACAGCTCTGCCCTAACTTCTCTGGAAGGCCAGAAGATGAAGACAGGATGGTGCATGTGCCCAGTCAGGTCAGGGGAGGGTGACTAGGCAGGGGCAGCACAGCTAGGGTGTGGTCCCGGACAAAAAGAGGCAGAGCACAGAGCCAAAGCCTGAACCATAAGCTGACTTGAAATTTTAGAAAATGATTTTTGTTTAAAAAAAAAAATCACTAGACAAAGCCTTAGACATTAAACTTAAGACCCTGCAGCCCAGTGGTTCCCAGCCAGGCTACAACCCTGGAATCAACTGCGAGGCTTTGAAACCATGACTCTCTTGGGAGGGAGGTTTTGTACCTTTCTTCGCAAGCATTTCCCAGGTGATTCTAACCTGCAGCCTAGATTGAGAAGCACTGCTAGTCCACAGTTGTGGCAACAGCAGTATTACCCCACCTCATCTCTGGGCCCTTTCTTCCCATGTGACACACACCCCTTTATATCTGTATGACTACCAAAGACTGGAACTGATGTGAGATCACTGCAGAGTAGAAAGCACAGCTAGTCTGCGAACCAGTGGCCATTCCTCCATGATATTTTTTGGTATCACTTGAGGCATAACTGAACTTCCATTATTTATAATCCCCTCTGCCCCAGGCATGGGCCCTTGTTTTCCAGGACTAGGGATATCTCAGTGTGACTCCAGGTTGTCTTTGAGTTACGTACAAGTACTTAAGTTATAGAAAAGTAGCTTCAGGATGAAAACAGAATTTTATCTGAAAAAGGTTCCATGGTAAAAAGCACAAAATTAAAGTAAAACGGATTTCTTCAATGCAGGACTTTCCAGAACCTCTACTATGCTCCTCTCAGCCCAAGAGTGTCCCAAGGACCGGGGCCTACCTCAAAGGTAGAGCTCTTGCCTAGCATGTGCAAGGCTCTCGGTTCAACCCCAGCACAATCTGGGAACGTAAACACACACGTGCACACTTCCTGCTCGCAGGACCACGGTGCCACAGAACCCACCTGAGGAACACTGGTCAGAACTGCATCCGCCCTGCATCTAGATGGGCATCCACCAAGCAGAACAGATTCGCACATCTACAGACAACCAAGTGGACAGACCTAATTCATGAGAAGTCCAACGAGGCCCTGGGCAGACTGCCAAAGGCAAACAATATGATAGAAAAAGCCCTTGACTCCTTCCCTCAGGCCTGGCGCAGGCTTGACACTTACCTTCTGTGCAGAGAACCCAGTGCCGTCTGTCGTCCTGATCTGCACGTCATCACCAGTGTAATCAATGCTTTGCACCTGGCTCAGGACAAGCAATTACGGAAAGAAAATGAGACCTGGAACCTCAGTCTTTTCCAATTCTCCTACCAGGTGAGCTCACTTCTCTAAGGCCAGGGGAAACCATTTCCTGGCATTCAGAGCTAAATAGCTACAGCTGAACTCAGAACTGAACTTCATAAACTTGTTAGAATACGGAAAATTGTCATAATGAAGCATAAAGTGAAACATATATAATCATCTCTGTTTTTACAATGTACAATATAAATCCTTTGGGATAAAGATTGAAGGGAAACTTAAGGTGAAAATAACTGCACTGAGCTGGAGGGGCAAGCAGCCTGACCACTTTGATTAACACACACGGCTGCTACCGTTTGCAACAGCAATCGCCCAACGTGGTAATGCTACTGATCACAGGCCGCCACCACCCCACAGAGTTGGGAGACAGCAACCACACCTGTCCCCTGAGGGCCCATGCCCCAAACTTCACACTCTCGTAAAACAAGGCAGAACTAGAGTCCCCACCCTGGCCCATACTCACTGGAGAGTTGAGCCGGATGTCTAGCCCTTCAGCCAGCTTGTCAATGATTGCAGAGTACCCAGGACTCAGGAGAGTGTGGTCACCAGCAAACTGGGCAAAGAACTCATTGTGGTCCCAGGAGCGAGCAGACACCTGGGAAATATAAGGGGATGCTGGGAACCTGGCAATGTAAATCCTTAAGCCTACACCTACGCAAAGCGAGGTGGGAGGGCAGGCTACCAGCCCATGGCAAACATCAAGGAAGAGGACAATCTGACCAGCCAGGGAGATGCCACCACCAGAGAAGATCTTCCTCCAGAGTGCAGAGGAAAGCCTTCCACAGAACAAAAGGCCTACACAACGTGGGCATGGGGACCATTCTTAAGATAATAAAAGTTGATTTTATATATAGACAACTCTGGCAAAGAAGAATTCCCTGGGCGTGAAACTGCTTCTGATGAGCTCTACATATATGCTGGCAAGTTTCCTCAACATAAAACTCTACAGAGACTGAACTCAGCATGCAATTCAATTGTACTGCAGCACTGACGGGAAAGGAGCCCCCAGGAGAGCAGATCAAACCATCCATGGGTTTCCTTTCAAAATGCACAACACTGGAGTGTTAGGTTCACAGCTGGTTCAATGAGGAAGGAAATCTTAAATTTATTTTTACAAGATAAATGGGCCAAAATTGCAAGGATGCTGTATTTTGGTTTCTTGAGAAAGGCCCTTTGAGACTCCACACTCCCCAAAGGTGACTCAGGAGTTTCTGCAGAGGGCAAGGCTCCTGGCCCCCTGAATCAGAATTCAGCCTGGCCACGCTCCTTTCTGGGGTTTTATAGATTGGCCTCATGGGCATTATCTGAATCGGGATTTCTCTTGCTTTTCTAAATCACTGTAGGGTTCACATGGTCTGAAATCTGGTTGTCAATCTTCTGGGTAAAACTCAGCCATTCTTCCCTGCTCATCCAAACCAGCCTGAGTGGGTGTTTAAACCTAAGACGCCCCCCGCCCCCGCCCCCCATGACAGCATTTCCAAGCCCGTTCCCAAGGCCAGGCGCACCTGGTGGAGGGTGCTACCACATGCGTACTCCAGGTTGCCCAGGTGGAACTGCAGCACCTGCCCTTCCAGCTCGCTGAAATGGATCCCGGACTCCTTAACAAAAGCTTTGTAGATCTCATCTATCTTCTCTGTGATAATGGATCAAAGCAGAAAAAAACAGCATTTACATGATTCTGTCTAGTTCCTTATCCTTTGCTCTCAATCTTCTTCACCTGGCAAAACCCAAAACTTCTCAAGTCTCTCCCTAAGTAATCTTGGGGAGGGATCTCTCAGTAAGGTTGATTTTTCTTAGGAGGCAAAAGCTTATCTTAATGGAAACAAAGATATGGGGGTTGATACCTTCAAAATGTTTCATTAATGCTGAGTTAAGAAACCATTTCCTCCTATGCCCAAGATGCAGAAAAAAATACCCCTCCCTCCAATACACACACACACAAACACACACACGTAAGTACACACAAAAAGAAGAGTACTTCTCTGGTCCTACTGCCAATGTCTTAAAGTCAAGTTCTCTTAACATCTCACTTCAAGTAAGACACCACAGTAGACTAACCATTGGCAACATTCTCTCCCAAACAAGAACAGTCCACTAAGTCCTTTTGTCACGTCACCCTTCTGTATCAGTATCTTTAATTACTGGCTCCTGTTGGAAAATAAATTCCAAAAGCCACAGCTAGCATGTTAGCCTTTTCTAAGGTAGCAACTGCTGCCTGTCCATTTACAGGTGTGGCCTTGCTGCTTCTGACACTTTTCCTGGTGAAGTCCAGCCCTGCAGGGCCCACACCCACTCTCCCTCCTGGGACTGTCCTCCCCACCCATGACTTAACAGCCCAGCATCACCCAGCCACTCCAAGGCCCCGCAGCTCTCCCTGTTCTCGGCCCCAGCACTCATCTACCCCATTCACCTGGAGTCTAACCCTGCAGACACAGCCCTATGAAACAATCCCTGGAGGACCGACAGGGAGGCATGTGGTCACATGTCTAATTTCAAGCACCCACTGTGAGTACAGCTGCCCAACAGGTACATCACAGACCCCAAGCATCCGGTAAACACCGTGTCCTTGCCTTGCTAGAATCAACTAAGGAGCAGTTAACTTCCAATCAAGGTTCTCATTAGAATTTATTCTCACACAAGACTGTAACATGGGGATGTCCAAAGGACCTCTGGATTTATGCTAGGTTTTCAACCCTTGGCTTTCTGCCATTGCCAGTGCCCTCCTGGTAGTCCCAGGCCCTTGCTGATACCAGTTCTACTTTCCTGTTTTGTGGAGAAAGAATCATGGTTTTTAGAATATAAAATTAAGAATGAACAGACTAGGAAAGGCCTTACTGCAATTTTCTTGTATGTGATATTTAAAAGCTTCAGTCTACATGCTTTGTGAAATGAATTCCAGTTTCTCAGTATGTATATTTGTTTTTTCCAGCTATGCGCTACACTAAGGTGAGATCTCAGCTGAGATCCTGAAACGCAGAAAGTATCTATAACCTTATACAGAGGTGTGTGTACTATTAAGGAATTTTTAAATTAAATATAAAGATGAAAAATGACTTATACAGTATCACTAGGCCTTTTTGTTTCTTCTTCTTCTTTTTTTTGCAGTGCTGGGATGAAACCCAGGGTTAGGCATGTGCTAGGCAACTGCCCTACCACTGAGTCAGTCACACCCCAGCCTTCAATGACTTTTTAAAAATAAGGCCAAGACAAAGCAATCTTTTTTTTTTTTTTTTTTTTTGTAACTCTGAAAGAAGTGTAAAGAAAACCCCAGCCAGCAACTACCCCACAGATGCAGAACACTAACCAAATCCTGAGACTACCCTGCAAGTGAGACTAATAGTTTTCAACCCCAGAAAATTTAATAACCCACCACTTGCTCTACACACAAGACGGGATGAAACGGTCCCTGCGCACTGGAGTCTATCTCTGTAACATGTTCTGCTATGGTCTGTCAGTCAACCCTTTCCAAGGGTGATCAGAGTGGGTCCATCTCTTAGAGGTAGTGGAGGAGAAAAAGACTGTTTCTGCCCAACCAGCCCAAGCAGGTGAAGCGCTATCCCACCTGAAGAACTGAGAATCCATGCACAGACACGCACAGCTGGAGAAAATTAACGTCTTACAAACTGAGTACAAACATTCACACTTCAAGAAATACAGACATGCCTCCAAGGTCATAGATTGTAGGATACATAAATATCAATTTAAGAAGCAGTGCAGGAAATCTCGGCCAGCCCCCTCATGGAAATGAGTCACTACAGGCAGTCAGGCATGCTACAGAGTTGTGGTTAAACTGCTCATTTAAGTACCAAAGCTGAAGGATTCTGAGTTAAAATTCTTAAATTATAACATTCCTAAGCAAAATACACTGAAAAAAAAAAAAAAAAAAACTAAATATACTGCCTAAAGAAATCCTGGTGTACGGAAACATTCATCTAGACATTACGGGCTGAGGATTTAACAACACAGGGCTTACCAGAGGTTTCCTTAAAAGAAAGCTCCCCTGGGAAATTAAAAATTGAACATTTAGGTAACTTCGTAAAACACCAGCTATCATGAAAAATAAGGTCCCTGTGCACATATGCACACAAGCATGGAAAGGACCCCCAAGGAAACTCTGCCCCCTCCGAGGACCAGTCTGCAGAGTCCACTAATCCCCAGGGAACATGCATAAGCTCTGCCCCTACCATGGACGTGGAGCCTGCCGAGTGAACGCTGCTCCTGCTAAGGTCAGAGTGACAGAAGATGGAACAATCAGAATGCCATTCTCCCCATACCTCCTAAAGGGACATCTTGGAGCTGAGTCTTATCCTTCCTCCACTCAGAGACAACATCCAAGAGAGCATTAAAATGAAAATCCATGCGCTTGTCAATAGTGGGGTCAGTTATTCTTCCACCTTCCTGAATTAAGTCACATCTTTCTCCAAACTTATGCATGCTGATGCCAAGCTTCAAAATAATAAGAATAAGAAGGTGAAAATCTTCCCTGGAAAAAATATTTACAGGTTCTAAGCTGAAATCAGACAGACCTCTCATGGAGAAGAGGGTCTAAAGGCAAAAATAAAGCTGGGCGTGCTTAACACACAATGACAGCAAAGTGACGCAGCGAGAAAACAGCGTGAACTGGAAAATGCCTTAATTTTAGGAGAATGTGAGGGGGACAGCAATAGTTTCTGCGCCGTGAACTCTAACCCCTGCCACTCTTTGAGATGCTGTGGACTGCCTGTCCTCATAGACCCTTCTGCCCCCCTTTGGACCCTCATGTAAATGAACACAACACACACAAACACTCATAGAAGCTGAAACTGAGTGTACTGTCAATCAATGCTGAAGGACCTAAATTCCTCAATTCCTCTAACTCAGTGGCAGAGCACTTGCCTAGCATGCGTGAGGCCCTGGGTTCTATCCCCAGCACCCCCCCACCCCCCAAAAAAAGTTTCAGAAAAATTCTTGGGCCTCGCAAGTTACCGGATAATAAATAGAATGCCCCAGTAAATAAATAACACACTTTTTAAAGAATTAAGTATGCTCAAACATGACAAAATATTCCATGTAATATGAGACACATCTACACCAAAAAATGACTGCTTATCTGAAAGTCAAATAAGAGGGGCTTGGGTTGTGGCTCAGCAGTAGAGCACTTGCCTGGCATATGTGAAGCCCTGGGTTCAAATCTCAGCACCACATATAAATAAGTAAATAAAATAAAGATATATCAACAACTTAAAAAAGTCATTCTTTAAAAAAAAAATTTTAACTAAGAATCCTGTATTCTTAACTGCTGATCAGCTGCCCTAAGATTATGAACAAGTAGCCTGTAAATAACATACAAAATTAAAGATCTGGGAAAAAGAAAAAAAAAAAAAAAAAAAAACCTTTTAAATACCTTCTTGGGAAGACAGAAGGGTAACTGTTTTATTTACCTTGCAAAAGGGATGAGGAGACTGTTGAATATTACTTACTTTAGAAGCACATTAACACTATTTTTTTTTCCAGTTTGGGAATCAAACCCAGGACCTCAAACATGCTAGACAAGTCCTCTACCACTGAGCTACACCCCAGCCACATTAATACTATCAATAATGAAATGAAACATTTTTCTTTACTTTGTTCACAATACAGATCTCAAAGAAACTCACTTGCTCACACATTAGTGCTACTGGGTTATTAATACAGCCATTGACAATCTGAGGTCCTCTTCCCACTGTGACACCTTTAAAAGATTTATCATCCCATACCCGGCCTCCAATTCTGTCTTTGGCTTCCAGAACAGTCACCTAAAAAGACAACCAGGGAATCTAAACAGGACAGAATAGTCATACCAGACAATATTTTAAAAATACAGAATGATACTGATAAAGAATCTCCATATTTCATTTATTATATACTTTTAAAGAAACAACTTCAGTTGAGGGTGAACAGAAGGCAAAGCAGATGTTCAAACAACCCAGATATCCGAGAGGAGCGATTTGAGTGATCTGCTAAAGTGATCTCACTGTTTCCTTCTCAAATCAGATAATAAGATTTGATAAGTTAGTAAGTGAGATGTACTTTGAAAGCTATCACTAAGTAGTTCCATAAACTATATTTAAAATTAGGATAAAAAATTGATTTTCCTATGAAATGTCTATATGTGTAGCAAAATCCCTTTAGCACTACAAATAGGCCTTAACTTTTTCCTAAGACAAGAATCAATTTCCTAACCTCAAGGGGAATGGATGGTCTCCTGGCTGTCCTTCATCACTTGGGAAGAATGAGAGGAAAGTGGCAGGGGACCCCAGACCTAAATTCCTCAGTTCCTCTAACCAGGAAGGCTACACTGTGTGGTTCCATGCTCCTCACCATCTTTCTCCAACTTTAACACTTTAGTTTCTTTTTAGAGTAAGAGGAAGGCTGAATATTAAAGACAGCCCCTCCCTAGACTTTGGATATTAATAACCTTCTCTGAAATATAATCTGTATTTTTTTTTTTTTTTTTAGAATTTATTTTTTTTTTTATTTTTTTTTTTTTAATTTTTTTTATTGGTTGTTCAAAACATTATAAAGCTCTTCACATATCATATTTCATACATTAGATTCAAGTTGGTTATGAAATATAATCTGTAGGTTTCCCAAGTAAAACACAAACAAAAAAGCTGGCTCTAATATCCAATGCTGAAATAATCAATTAAAATACTTTCTAGTTTACTACCACACAGAAAATATTTCAAAATGCAAGCACATGTCCTATAAATCCATCTCAGAATCTTCTGTTTTGCCAACTATATAATGATCCATGACATGGGTCTTCCATCCACCAGGAAGAAAATCTTTTAGGCACAGCTTTTGAAAAATTTTCTCTGAAACTCTGGAACTTCTAAAAATCATCCCAGAGAAGATATTGCCAAAAAAAAAAAAAAAAAAAAAAAAGGTCACTTCTTTTAGCCAAGTAGAGAAGAGTAAAAAGGCTAATTTAATTCTACAAATTTTTCATTTTTCACTAAAACCAAAGTTCTTCCAAAGTAAATTTGAGAAAGAAGAGATGTATCAGACCTAGCCAATCAGTGAACTTGAGGGATGGTTAATGTGAATTAATTTAATGGAATCGAACAATGAATCACATAGATGTTTTTGTCAGTCTCTATTATGGCTCAATATGAACTGGTTTAAGGCAAGAGTCTGGCAACAGCATGGGGCCCACCCCTCCTCAGGGGAGCAAGCCCCCTTACATACCTGCAGGACTATGGAAATCACACAGTTCTACCTCAAGCAATCAATCAATTCAGTCTTCCTTCCAAAAGCAAAGGTTTTTGTTTTTGAATAAGATCCAAAGAGTGCCTTTGATTTATTTGCCTAAGAAAATCTACATGAGTATTTCAGGAACTTCCAAGAAACGAACTGCAGGGCTGTCCTTTGTCTTTTCAAACTATCAACAGAAGCAAGGGCTTCCCCTTGGCCTCTGTGCAAAGGAAATCTATCAAGAGCTTATATTTTAACTCCAAGTTAGAGTTTCTCCTGATTTGCTCAATGGGGTCTGAAACTCCCTCCAAAGCTGGGAGGATTTCTACCTTTCTCCACCCTTCTTTTATTGAATCAATGTCAAATGCTATGACTATTCTAGGATCTAGTGTAAAGAGGTAACACATTTAGATTCTCTACTAAAATTAGAACTGGTTTCTATGTCTTAGAAAATTAAGACCAAAGAAGCAGATAACCATCTGTTTCCACCTACATATCCCAGAAATCTTACCTTAATTCCAAAGTTATGCAATTGCCTAGCAGCTGCTAATCCTGCTGGACCAGCCCCAACAATGGCGACGGATTTCTTTAAAAAAAGAAAAGAAACAAAACTCAAATTAGAGCAACGGCAACAATGCACTGTTCCACTTTTCTGACGTTCACCTACTGTTTTTTAATTCTCTTAGAAAATTATTTTCCTCAAGCACATGGTGCTACTTGTCTGAAGCAATCCCTCCCCTCTTCCTCAGTGTGGAGACAGCTGGGCACCCTCCTCGTGGGGGGAACACTCCACACAATCCTCAAGCGAGTTCTATGGTGATGCCATGGTCTGCTGGGTACCCCCACAGCGACACACGGGCTCCACAGCACAGGGCAGAGCGGCACCTACGTTGTGGTAGTCTTTAGGAAGCAGGTACTGGTCAGCTGCCACGGTGAGAACGCCTGTGTTGATGAGACCTTTCCTCGTCATGAAATAAAGTATCCTCTCCACTTCCTGAACGCACCGGATGCGGACGAGACCCCGGACGATGATGTGAGGAATGCATTTCTGAGGAGTAAGAGCTTCCTGTGTTTGGAAATGAGACCAAGTGTTAAGAAAAACCTCAAGGAACTCAAAATGAATGAATAGCAAGAAACAATCCAATTTAAAAATGGACAAAATAGCAGCTGGGGATGTGGCTCAGTGGTAGAGCACTTTGGCTGATATGTGCACGGCCCTGTTCCTTTCTCGGCACCAGAAAAATGGGAAAATGACCTAACGGGACATTTCTCAAAAGATGTAACAGTGGCCAATGGGTACACGATAAAATGCTCAAGCTCATTAATCACCAGGGAGACGCAAATTCAAACTATAATGCTGTACATCACCTCATCCAGCTAACAGCCTTTACCAAAGGGCAAAAGTAAAAGGGGCGAGAGGCGGAGGACAGGGAGCTCTGCACACTGTGGGTGGGAATGGAAATCAACACAGCCATCCTGCAAAATGATATAGTGTTTCCTTAAGAATTAAAAACAGACTACCATGCCATCTAGCAATCCCACTACTGGGTCAGTTTCCAAAAGGAATGAAATCAGTGTCAAGGTCTATGCTCCCACGTTCAGTGTAGCACCTTTCACAAGAGCTGAGAAATGTGTCAACAGATGAATAGACAGCAAAGCGGCACAATCTCACCTACATAAATGTGAAATCTGAAAGAGCTGAACTCAAGAGAGAGTGTAGAAGGGACCAGGGACTGGTGGGGTGGGGTGGGGAGACACTGGCCAAAAGGTACGAAGTTTCTGTTAGACAAGAGGAGTGCAAGAAATCTATTACATGACTTGGGACTACAGGTAGTAACAGGAACCGTACACTTGAAAAATTAATGAGTAGATTTAAGTGTTCTCACCACAAAAAAAATTTGCATATATTAATTAGCTTGATTTAGCCATTCCAAAAGTACACATACTTCTTTTTTTTTTTTTAACTACTTTTTAGTTGCTAATGGATTTTTATTTATTTAAATGCAGTGCTGAGAATCAAACCCAGTGTCTCACACATACTAGGCAAGTGCTCTACCACCCCAGCCCCTTAAGTACACATTTTTCAAAACATTGTATTATATATCATAAGCAGATACAATTTTTGTCAATTTAAAAATAAGTTTTAAATCTTTTGATTTCTCAAAGAGGTAAGCAGAAAATCATCATATGACCCAGCATTACATGACCTAGAATTAAAAACATGTTTAGATACAATGTTCACAGAAGTATTCAAACAGCCAAGCAGTGAAAACCAATGTCCATCAATGGATAAATAAACATAACCATTCATATTTGTCTACATATCTACATCTATAGATACACACATATGTATATCCCCAAACAATGAACTATTCTTCCACTATAAAATGGAATGAAGTTCTGATACATGCAACAATATTGGTGAACCTTGAAAATAACCATGCTAAGTGAAAGAGCCAGTCACAAAAGGCCACATATTATATGATTCCATTTATAAGCAACATCTAGAACAGGCAAATCCACAAAGACAGAAAGTAGATTAGCAATTACTAAGGGCTGGTGAAGGACAGGAAAGAGTGACCAGGTATGGGGTTTCTTCTTGGGATACTGAGAAAGTTCTGGAACTCGACAGTGGTGATGAACTATACATTCCACAATGACTAAAATGGTAAACATGGTAAATTATGTTTATTTTATCATAATGAAGAAAAGCCTCTAGGGATAATTTGCATCCACCATTTATCAGCAAGACAGGAAGGACAGAAGGGGTGTGCTGGAGGGAATAAGAGGAGGAAGGGAGAGAGGACTCAGCAGTTTATACTTGAGCATCCCGTTTCTTCTCACTGAGAAGGACTGCTACGAGGGAATGTGGCAGCATGACACATTACCCTTCTGACTCAAGAGGACCTTACAGAAACCCGGGCTGCTGCTGGTACCAGCAGCAAAAGCTGGCTCATGAGTGATGTCATGAACTTATAAGGAAAAAAAAAAAAAGACACTAGCTTTCCTTGGTCCACTTCCCGAGCCCAGGACAGGAAGCTGAGGACAGGATCCTTTACTTGTCACCAACATCTGGCTCCACTATCAATCAGACTGGGAGTTGACGATGTGGCTGGCAGACTCAAACAACATGCAGCACGCTGCTGGGGCTGCTGAAGAGAGACATTTGTGCTCGTAAAGTTTAGAAAAAGCACTGCAAAGTCTTCAATTCTTTTAAATTTGTTTTAACCAAATTATTTCATATGTAAATAATAAATACTCTTATTAGAACCTAAACTACAGAACCAGATACAGCAGCACACACCTGTAATCCCAGTGGTTCAGGAGGCGGAGGCAGGAGGATCTAGAGTTCAAAGCCAGCCTCAGCAACTTAGCAAAGGCCTAAGCAACCTAACAAGACCCTGTCTCTAAATAAAATATAAAAATGGCTCAGATGTAGCTCAGTGGTTAAATGCCCCTGGGTTCAATCCCCAGTATCCCTTCCTAATAAAAACCCATAAACTACATACAAATACCAAGGACTTTATTAAATTCTTCCCCTCTACCAAATTTTCGGGATTTTTGTTACCAGGGATAGAACCCAGGGGCACTTAACTACTAAGATACATTCCTAGCCCTTTTTTTTTTTTTTTTTTTGAGAAATGTCTCGCTAAGTTGCTTAGGGCTTTGCCAAGTTGCTGAGGCTGGCCTTGAACTTGTGATCTTCCTGCCCCAGCCTCTGGAGCCACTGGGATTACAGATGTGCACCACCGTGCCCAGCCCTATCAAATTTCAAAATCAAAAAGAAATATAACAAACAATAAATCCAAGGTTGTTTCTGAAATGTATATTATTTACAGAAAATTCTGACCACAACTTTGTATAATTTAGTGAATGTTTAGTGAGCCCTTATCTCAAACCATCTGGGCACAAAATGAATATGTCTACCTTGCCCAGCATACTCACCTGGGTATAATTCATATAAACTGTATTAATCCAGAATTTAACTGGGTCAACTCATTTCACACTGGATTCTAATCCAGTGAAAGATCAGAGTGAAGTCAGAATATCTTTCTTTAATCAAGACCACTGTGGCAGTCTCCCACAACATTCTGTATATAACAGTGACTCAAATAATTGCTGAAGAAATAATAAATCAGAAAAATACTAGGGCCAAGAGAGTTTGTCTTTGTTAAAAACAAAAACAAAACTACTGGCATTCTTACTCCCCCCATCCCCAGCTTATGTTCACGCCTTTCAAGGTGGTGCTGTTTGGTGCTCCCAACGTTTATTCAGTTCCAACAGAGTGAAAATCACCATCTTGGTTGGTTGGAAACACTGAGGTAAGGAGACCTGATCTCTTAAATCCAATCTTTGATTTGTTTTTATCTCCCTCCTGGCAGTGCTGCCGGAACTCTTTGGACCAAGTCTTGCACCTCATTCCCATTCCTAGACTGAGCACTCTAATGTACATATGGTCTGAGTGGTGGTTCTATTCCCTTTTGGAAATGTCCAGAAACATACAGGCTGAGCATCTCTAATTCAAGAATCTGAAATGCTTCAAAATCTGAGTGCCAATACAGTGCTCAAAGAATTTTGGAGCATTCCTAACTTTTGGATCAGAGAGTTTGACCGATAAAGTTTCAAGTAAATATTCTAATATCTGAAAAAAACCCAAACTGGAAACATATCTGGTCCCAAGCATTTTGGATAAGGGATCCTCAGTGTGTATCTGGCTGTCATGACTGGGAAGTGTTGCTGACAGAGTGGGCAGAGGCCAGGGCTGTTGTTCAGCATCCTGCAGCACATAGGATGGCCCCCCTGGCACCCAAATGGCGGCATGCCCAAGATGCCACAGTGCTGAGGCTGAGAAGCCCTGGTCTGAGGCTTCCATCCCCACAGAGGGCAGCACTCTCCTGCAAGGAGGTCCTCTGTCCCCTTGCTGCTAGCTGGCCAAGCTTACTTACTTTGCAATTCGTATACCACAGGGCAAGGATGAGGTTTCTCAAAGCCAGGTACATTGTGGGGTCCCGGGAGTACTCTGGAAACTCATAAAGCTCGTCCAGCTCCATCACATCAGGCCTCACACAAAGGGCTTTGCCACATTCATTGGGCTGGTAGAAAGGCTGGAAGTACCGGTTCATGCCTGGAACTGACAGGTGACACAAACAGGAAACTCCTGCAGGCTTTCACTTCCAAATCCAGAAGAATTAAAGAGCAAAAACAAACCCAAAAGCACAACCTGGGCGAGCCCCACAGTATATCCAGCACAACTTCTGCTTCTTGCACCTAGTGGATAAAATGTCCATGAACTAAACAGTTTCCCACTCTTACTTCACAAGTTATTCACAACCCTAGTGTCTGTGGCATGAAAATTTTGATTCTTTAAAAAACACTGTTGTGCAACAGAGCTACGAGACTTTCTCATCTTGCAAGACTGAAGCTCTATACCCATAAAACAACTCCTCATAAAGATATATATATATATATATATTTTAGTTGTAACTAGACACAATATCTTAATTTTATTTATTTTTATGTGGTGCTGAGGATTGAACCCAGGGCCTTGCACGTGCTAGGCAAGCGCTCTACCACTGAGCCACAGCCTCAGCCTCAAGATATGTTTTAATAGTAACTTTTTTGGCACACAAAAAAATAGAATAATCACTAACCCTTGCTGGTGTCCTAGTGGTGGGGTTACATTGAGGGGCATGCTCTATTATTCTGCTTTGACAAATGAGGAATATTAATATAACAGATACTTCTTTTACAAAGCTGGGGAAAATGCTAGAGGTGCTATTTTCTAATTTGCTTTTTAGAATTTAGAATACTATGAACACTTTTTCATGTCATTACACATGACTTCAATGGTTATATATTTTCCTATTACTTAGCCATTCCCCTATTCTGGGCATTTAAATTTCATTCAATTTTTCACTGTTGTACACAATTCCAAAACAAATTCCTTTCTGTATATATCTTTGGACTTACTCATACAATAGGTATTCAGAAAAAAGTCCTAGAAATGGCACTGCTGGGTTTAAGGGTACCTGTCTAAGATTTTTGATGCACACTGCCAACATGTCCTTCACAAATGTACCCTCCAACAGGATTTGAGCACCTATTTCATGACACCTTCATTAACACTGGGAATTACCACTTTCGGTTTGATCTCCGTCATATCTACATTTTAAGAGGGATCAGTGTTATTAATTAAAAACTTATGGAAAAATAAAAACTTACGGAAAAATAAAAACAATGTAAACATCTATTCGCACCACAAAATATGCAGTTTGTCTGTGTGCACAGACAGTAAAAGATGGAGAATCTTGAAGATTCTCTTTCCAGTTGGTAGTCAGCAACATGCCTACCCTGAGGCTCTACACCTTTCTGAGAGTGGATCACCCATGGCATCATTAGAGGAGAAAGATGGAAATGAGAAAAAGGTACTGCTCACAGAGTTCAGAGCTTTCTTCTGGTAGTTCAGAGTGCATATCCTCCACACACTATCCAATGTTCAGATTAATGTGAAGGGTTCCCAAATTACTGAGGGAAAAGTTAACTGTACACTGTAAACTAATGGTGTGACAGGTCCACAGTACAGTTATCCCTCAACATCCTCAGGGAATTAGTTCCAAGCCGCACCCCACCCCAGGACACCTAAATCTATGCACACTTAAGTCCCTTCGCCAAGATGGTATAATATTTACATATAATCCACATACATGTGTGCTCTAAATCACCTCTAGGTGACTTACACTCCCCCCGCAAAATGCAAATGCTATGTAAATAGCTGTTCTATATTATTTAGGGAATAATGACAAGAATTAAAGGTCTATACATACTCAACACAATTTTTTTTTCCCCCAAATGTTTTCTAACCATGGTTAGTTGGATTTGTGGATCCAGAACTCTGGATGTGGAGAGCTGACTATATAACCAGATGCATGAATAATTATGTGCCCTGTATCATGCCTCCTTATGTTTTCTAAGAATTCTTTTGCATTTTGCTCACCCTTACATTTCTTCGGGGGCAGGGGTAAGGGTTGGAAAGGAGGGAGTAGCAGGACCAGCTCTTACCAAGCGCAGAGGGAGCCACTTTGGAGGCCTCCAGCTTCCCAGGGCTGGTATCCCCAGCAGTAGCAGCACGATTCGTGCTGGTACACGAAGGGCTCATGCCAACGCAGTCAGGGTAGTAGGCAGACAGCAGGGGTGCTGCCACGCTGTCTTTCAGCAAAGGAGGTAGGATGAGCATGGAGTACCACCAGTGGTTGGAAACTTCTGACACTCTCTGAAATGCAGGAGAAAGAGAAAACAGCAGAGAGAAACGGACATGCGGCTAGTGCCAAGGACAGAGGGCCATCTTCATTTCATTCATCCTTAGCCCTTTATTCTACCCCCCCCACCAGACTTAACAATTCTATACCAGAGTTCTGCACACACAAATTTAAAAACAAATGGATTATGATACACACAATGTTTCTTAAGGCAAAATATAGCCTTAATGTACAGTGACAGTCTCCCCCCTCCAAAGTCCCACCAATGCCAGGTAAATCTTTAGAGCTCCACCCACTTACTACCCTGCAAGCCTGGCTTTAAGTTTCAAAAGGGAAATTTATTTCTGCTCCACAGTTATCTATCATCCAGCTCCCTTTTACTTAAGATTTTTAAAGAGTTAAAATTGGACATAAAAACATAATTCTCCAAGTACTAGTCTATCATTACTGCTTTTAGCCAAAAACTACTTAAAAAAAAAAAAAAAAAAAAACTTTTGGAAGGTAAAAGTACACTAGTACCATCAAATAAGATGCCAAACGTAGACCTGAACAAGAGGCTATCTGGAACATTTTTCACTGTCTACGAGCCCCAACATTCCCAACAGTATACCCCACTGCTTCAGTCACCTTCTATGCCCAGCCCCTAAAGCCACATGCACCTGCAACCTCTGCTCTCAGCACCTGCTTTAGGTTAAACCTATCCTTGACAGGCCCACACTGTACCAAAACCAGGGGCACTCCAGCTCCTTTCCCAGCACACCAGCCTGTCTCTAGCAGCCACCTTCCTGGCCGGATCCCGAAGCAAGAGCAAATGGAGATTCAGCTCTTGGCACTCAGGCTGGACTATGCAGAGGGTGGAATGCAGTGCCTTGGAAAACATGAACCCAGGCTGCTCCAATTCTCTTCTGTTCCCTGGGTCATGCAGCTCAGTGGGCAAAATGAGTCAGGACCACTAGAGGCCTTGGCATCTTGCTCTAATCCCCCAGCTATTATTTCCCTAGAAACCCATCTGAAGACATACCAACCCGAACTCTGCTGGTGTAGGAGCAATGGGACTCATACTTAGTACATGCTCCGGCTAGTCGCCAACCCTGGATCCCTATAATTTTGTAAACAGACCAACAAACATCCCTCCCTCACTTTAATACACATACCACTGAAGAACCCGTACTTGACATACAATCTATTAGCATATTCAATCATCAAATACCCACTGTGCTAGGTTAGTGTTCCCCAAAATTTTATGTCCACCCGGAACCTTACAACGTGACCTTATTTGGAAGCAGGGTCTTTACAGATGTACTTAGTTATGATGAGTTCATACTGGCATAGTGGGAGCCCCAAATTCACCATGACTAGAGTCCTTAGTGGAAGCCAGAGAGAGAAGAAAGAGCCGGGGGAAGGGGTGGTGATGATGCAAGCAGGGATGAAAGCAGTGTGCCTCATGCCAAGGAATGCTAACAACTTCTGGCAACCTCCAAGAGGACCCTCCCCCTTGAGTCTGCAAAGGGAGCACGGCTTGGCCGACACCCAGATTCGGGCTTCTAGCTCTAGAACTGTGGAATAACACACTCGACTGTGGAAGAACACACTCGACTGTCTAAGCCTTCCAGCGAATCCTGGTAACTTGCTACAGAAGCTCCAGGTACCTAAGATACTTACTGAAAACTTAGAAACTGCTGTGACCCTAGAATCCCAGGAACATTAAAAATGTAAGGCAGATGACCATCACTACCAACCTGGACCTGACTCTCTCAGCTGAACACAAAAACCAGCAGATCAATTTCCAAGAATTCTTCCTTTTTTTACATACTTATATCTCATAAACAGCTTCTATCTTAAGAGTTCAGATTTTTCTGGTTGCAAAATAGTCTCAGTGTTATGGGACAGATGGATGAACAATTATATAATATTTAAAGTTATTTTTCCTTTCTTTCTATCATCTCATACTGTCTATACCTCAAATCCAGAAATCATATGGTCCACTGCCATACCAAGGGAATATATGAGGGTCCAGCCTGTAAAAATATGTATGTATATATGTGTATGTCTACACACACACATATACACCCCACTCCTCAAGTAACAGAATGGATTTAAAGTAGATTAGCTAGATGTCAGTTTCTCCCTTTGCTAAAAATTCCATTCTGGTCCCTGTATTTCAGATACCTGGAACAACCCAAATTAATCCTGAATCACTAAAAATCAGAATGACTCAGAATTCTCAGAATTTGAGAACTCAGAAGCCCAGAATTTTGAAACATCATTTTAAACTGGATCTGGTTGCACGGATCTTGCCAACTCAGGGAGCTAAGCTTCAAGAAGACACCAGAAATGTGGCCAGTCCTTGCCAGCTAGACATACTACTCCCCTTTCCACATCTAGTCATGAAAAGGACAAAGCTGTCACATTGAGGTCAAAATGCATGGGACACTCCTGCTGCTGAATCCAGGCCAAGAAAATCAATTTATGGCCCTCTTGTTCTTTTCTGGGAAGGATTCAAGTGGAGAAAGGGTCATAAAGTCATCCCTGAAACACAAGTTCAGTAATTCTGAGCCCTAAGGCAAGGCAAGGAAGCCTTTACTTCCTTTTAATATAAAGCAGTATACATTTTTAAGTTGGGAGTGGGTCACATATAACACCACTGATGACATTTTCATAACACAGTTACCAAGCTACATCAGAAAGGCTTTGATCAGCAAGCAAATGAAGACGAGAAACTCATGAAACGTTGCCGTCATTTACTTATCATCAAAAGCACATTAACTCTGATCCAGGATACTCAGAAATACTCACTAGATCTTCAGGGAGGGAACAATGATCTGAGGTCTCAGGCTGCAAAAGAAACCCAAGTTTTAATTAAGTTTACTTATAAAACATAGCCTTGTCTATTTATCTTCAATACCTCTTTTTCACCTATTAAACGGACAAAAAAGTTTGCTAAGACCCTGCATGAGCGAGGATGTCCTAGTAAAAACATGCAGGAATACCACTGTGGAGAGCAATTTGACAAAATATGGAGATTTTAAATGCATAGTAACTTGACTTCATAACTGAGGACACCACCAGCAATTCATTAGAGCATAAAGAGGATACACCCAGCAATTCTAACCTATATGTATTTTCTTGAGAGAATCTTGTAACATGTGCACTAACAGATAGATTAAAAAATATACAAAGGAGCGCGCTGGGGATATAGTTCAGTTAGTGGAGTGCTTCCCTGGCGTGCACAAGTTCCTGGGTTCAATCCCCAGCACCACCAAAAAAAAAAAAAAGTACAAAGGAGCATGGTTTGTAATAGGAAAAATGATAAGGACAACCCAAAATTTCTCAATAGTGGAATGGACAAATAGACCATATTATATTCAAACGATGACAAGCTACACAACAATGGGCGTGAACTACAACCACAGGCTACTACACGTCTGTGAGATGTATTCATGTTGTACACACAACATAATGTTGAGCAGAAGGAGCCGCACCCATCAGACCATATGATTCCACTTATATAAAGCTCAAACAAGGAAAAAAATCTACAATATTGCAAATTAGAATAATAAGTACACAGGGGAGAAAGGTTGGAGGCCGTGACAGACAGGGAGTACCAGATGGCTTCTGAGGGGCTATTCAATTTCTATACTAAGAGCCAGATAAATGGGCACTTAACAGGTTAGTTAATAAAACAAAAAGCAATGAAATTCAAAAGAGCATTTGCCCTTACAGAGAAGGGAAAAGGAGACGCGCTGCAGGAGCACCCAGGACCTGGGAAGCCATTGCTCTGCTTCGTAAACTGGGTGAGGACCGTTTAATGCTTTACATACAATTATAAATCCTCTCTGCACTTATAAATTATATCATATTGAAACTGAACATACACTTTGATACCAAAATTTCATTTAAAAGAACTGATGCTACAAAAATACTCAAAAATGGCATCAATAGAAGGCTATTTGCTACAGTACTGTCATAAACAATAACATCTACAAATAACCTAACTGCCCCTTAAGTGCAGAATTAAGCATGGTACATTTGTTCTGTGGACTAAACATCAGAGTCACCTAAGAAAGTTCTTTATGTACCGAGATGGAAGCCTCCTGAAAAAAGAAATGACAAAAACACGTGGAATTTGCTGCCTTTCTTCTTACTGCTGTTCCACAAATAAACTCTCAACTTGGTCCCTGATAGTGTTACCAGGCTAAACACCAAGATGACTCAGTAAACACTGTTTAAATAAATATTTCCATGGTTCAGGTTATGGATGGCAATCAAGTAGACAGGAACAACAGGATGGCAGGTATCAAAGGAGAGTGACTGAGGAGGTAAGGGACCCTAAGGAGACGAAAAAGGCTTCCATTGTAGGGCAAGGTTAAGAGTAAAAGCAAGCAAGTTTTCCAAAACATAAGGGATCCAACACCTCTGAGACCCTCCTGGAAAAAAGTCCTCAATGTTAAGATACATCCAACCAGGTAACAAACCACAGTGCAGAACCTGGAAGGGAAGGCACTACAGTAGAAGAAACCATAGGGAGCGGGGGATCCACAGAACTACGGCAGTGAGAGAAAAAGGCAGAGGGCACGAGGTTATGGGGGAGAATGACATTTAAAACACTTGGAAGAAAGGGAAAAAGGAGGTCGACTGAAGTGTGATATCATCTGAATTACTTTTACTGATTTCAGAGCATGGTGTTGATTAGTATCTTCTAATAGAACTATGATTTTTTTTTTTAAGGTTAGAGTGATTTTAACTCAATAGTCACATAATGTATTTTTCAATTTTTAGGGAGTTTTTAGAAACCACTATTTCTTTGGGTGGGGAAATAATTACTCCATGCTCAGCAATTTCTTATTTCAGCCTGGCTTCTTTTTCTTATTTCAAATGCATGTTACAAAAATCATGTTGGTGGGCTGGGGATGTGGTTCAGAGGTCAAGCACCTCTGGGTTCAATCCCCAGTACTCCCCACTCCCCGCCAAAAAAAAAAAAAAGAAGAAAGAAAGAAAAATCTTGTTGGCACTATTCCTTAACAGGAAGTTGTCCGTCAACCACTCCTCCTTCATTCATACAGGAACACTCAAAACTCTCAAAAAGTGGTGGCTATTTCATGATGACTAACAGCATACATTTTCTTGGCTAGCATCTCTGTTCTTTTCTGTATTTCTTTTGAAGTTTTCAATGATGGACACATATCATTTGTCTACAAAAGAGTCATTCCAAAGAAAACCCTATAGTTTTCAAAAACTAAGTATGTTAGAGAAGCTGAAAATGACAACTGCCACCCAAGGGGGAAAAAATACTGACGCACCCAAACACTGTGAACAATTAGCAGAGATGATTTTGAAGTCGTACATTCAATTATGAGAGAGCAATAGAGGAGCAATTATGGATGGCTCCAAATTATTCTTTAGTCAAAGCATAGAAAGAAATGTAAAAATTACACCTCGTATTTAGTAACCTACTATTAAATGATTCATCCAAAATCTTTTTAAATGAACTGTTCAACCTTAAAACACTACCTACATAAATCATGCGAAAATGGTTCAAAGACCAGACTCTAATGAAGCAGTCTTCTATTGTTGACTGCTGGTCGGCGGCTGCAGTCCCCTCTCAATGTTACAATGAAATGCCTGCCTCTTGTTCACTTGAGAAGTCACCTGGGGCATGGTGCTGGTTAATTCAGTGCAACCAAGGCACTGTCCCCCTGGGCCAGAGGAGCTTCCCCTGCCCCACAATCTCAGCACTGCATTCCTCAGCCCCCTCCCACTTTTTTCTCTTCTATTCTAAAGCAGAGGTTGAGGATCTTGAAGATGAAAGACAGTATATTCTAAATGTTCTCCCCATAAAAAATCAATATATAAGGTAATATATAAATTAATTAGCTTGATTTAGCCACTCCACAATGCATATGCATTTCAAAATAACATCTTACATACAACAAACATATATTTTTCATTTGTCAATTAAAATTAAATGACTTTTTGAAAAGAATAATTAAGGGCTAAATTAAAAGATTTTAGAACAAGTCATCGATTCCAGGAACCTGGTACTAGGCTCAGATCTGATCTTTCCATTCCTCACTCCCAAATTACCAACAAGAACAGAAGAGAGAATACCACAGAGGCCACCGACATTAACAGAAGAAGAGTGAACAATATAAACAACTTCAACAAATTTGACAGCGTAGATGAAAAGCACCTGGGCCCTGAAGCATCTCCAAACCATCTCCAAGTCACAAACCACCCGAATCATAACACATCTGTTGAAGAAATCGAATTAAAACATACTGGCCCAAACTCCTGGACCAGAAGAGTCAACCAAACACTAAAAAAAGGACTAATACTGACTTTATGCACCCTGTTTAACAAAATACAAAGCATGGCATATTCTCCATTTGCTTCTTGGGGAGCTAGCATAGCTCTGACAGAACCTGACGAGGATGCTGTAAGAGTTGTGACAGCATCACTATGAACACAGATGCCAGAATCCTTAACAAAACATAATAAAACCCAGCAATATATTAAAAGCATAGTACACTAGAAAAAAAGGGAGAAATTTTTCCAGAAATATAAGATTGTTTCAACATTTCAAAATCAGTGTGATTCACCCCATTAGCAGATTAAAGGACAAAAAACCCACATGATCACCGTAATAGATGAAGAAAATATATTTGGCAAAAGTCAACCAAAATTTCGAATAAAAGTTCTTAGCAAAGCAGGAGAAGAAAGGACCTTCTCCCTCAACCTAACAAAGGAGCATCTACAAGAAGCTATATCAATAAGCAGAGTACTCCAGTCAGATTGAGGCCAGGAGTAAGACAAGGAGGCTTGGCTTTCACCACCTCTGTATGGTATGTCAGTGGTGGTCCTGCCCAAATCAATAAGGCAAGAAAAAGAGAAAAAGAAAGAATATCAGGGGCTGGGGATGTGGCTCAAGCGGCAGCGCGCTCGCCTGGCGTGCGTGCAGCCTGGGTTCGATCCCCAGCACCACATACAAAGATGTTGTGTCCGCCAAAAACTAAAAAAAAAAAATAAAATAAAATAAATATTAAAAAAAGAGAAAAGAATATCAGTTGATATTAGTTTGTAGACAACCTAAAGGAATCTACAAAAGGACTTATAAAAGTTAATAAGGAAAGCCAAAAAAGTCTCTGGGTATAAAGTCAGCACATATAAGTCAACTATATACCTATACAAATGCCACAAACAACTTGAAAATAAAAATTCATCCTCAGTGAAAACTAGAAAACACTGCTGGGAGAAATTAAGGAATCCTGGGAAATGATTTCTGTAAAGACTAGATAGTAAATATTTTAGGCTCTGTAGACCATGCAGTCTCCATCATGACTCCTGTCATGGAGCATGAAAGCAGCCGTCGACACTACATAATTAAAGAGCACGCTGTGCACCAATAAAACTTTCTTTATAGCTGAAAGATTAGTAGAGGAGAGGGAAGGGAACAGAGGGAGGGAGAAAGGTAGGAAAAGGACCTCCTGGGGTCTGAATTAGAGCAAATCATATTCCATGCTTTTATAACTATGTCAAAATTAATCCTAATGTTATATATAACTAAAACGAACCACCATCAACAACAAAAAAAACATTATTTATGAAAACAGGCAAAGGGCCAGATTTGACTCACAAGCCATTACTTGCAGTAACTGGGTTAGAAAACTGAAAAATGTCCATTATCCTCCAAAAGATACACAGATTCAACACATTCCAATCAAAATCCTGGAGGGTAGATATGGACAAGCTTATGGAAAACATACATGGAAACATAACGGTCCTAGAATACATAATCATAAAAAAAAGGTTGGAGGAACTTACCACTAACTAATTTTAAGACTTAAAAAAGATACAATAATCAAGACAAGACCATTTTGGTCAAGGATAAACAATGGGAACTATGGAATGTGGTACATACTGCATGTATGGTCAATTGATTTTTTTAAAAAAATGATATCAAGTTAGTTCAATGAAAAAAAGAATAATCTTTTCAACAAATAGTACTGAAAAACTAAGTACCTATATGGAAAAAATTGAATTTTGTCCTATTCCTCATATCAAAAGCCTTTAACTTGATAAAAGATATTGTATCCATGTACAACTAAAAATTTAAAAATTAGGAAAAAAAAAAGATGCTCAGCATCACCAGTTAACAGGGGAATGCAAACCAATGCCCCCATGAGATGCCAAAACATACCCACTATACCAACAAAACCACAAAAGAAAACACCACCAAATGTTGGAACATGGCACAAGAATCATGGAAAACCATTTGGCAGTTTCTTAACATTAAACAACTACTACATGACTCAGTAGTGTCACTCTTGTGTATTTGCCTGTAAGAAATGAAAAGGCCCACAGAACACTTGCACAGAATGCTCACTGTAGCTTTTCTCACACAGCAAAAACACAGGGACAATGGTTAAACAAACTGCAGGGCATACCTACAATGCAATTTTACTTGACAATTAAAAGAAACTACTGATCACGAGAGTGACGAGGTGACTCTCAAATCCTACTTAGTGAAAAAAAGCGAACACTACACTACACAATACATATGGCTGTTTTTTTTTTTTTTGTTTTTTTTTTTTTTTGTGGTACTGGGGATTGAACTCAGGGCCTTGTGCATGTGAGGCAAGCACTGTACCAACTGAGCTATATCCCCAGCCCTCATTTTTTTTTTATTTTATATTTTTACATGGTGCTGATGATTGAACCCAGTGCCTCACACATAGAACGCACATTATACCAATGATGGCTAATTCCTAACAGCCACACATCTGTCCCTCCTCTCATAGTTTCACTGAGACACAAGTCCCAGCCCCTGATTTCATTTTTTACAAAGTTCAAGAACAAGGAAAACTAAGCTATGATGATAGACACCAGAAATTCCTCTGGGGAAGAGAAGAAATAACCAGAATTTTTTAGAGTGATGGAAATATTGTATATCTTCATTGGCATAATGAATTCAATCTGTAGACATCTTCTGAAACTCAATGAAATTCACTTAGGAGCTATTCCTATAACTATAGTATGTAATCACAGCTCAAAAACAAAAATAAGATGCAACTTTATATCAATTAAAAATAACACCAGTTGATGCAGATAAGGTTTTGATATAATGATGACTCTGAGTTGGGGTCTTTGGATCTTTAAAATGCAATTTGCATATTCATATCAATAGTCTTAAGTAATGTGCCCCTCATAAATACATTCAAATGCATTTCTAAAAAGCGGGGACACACACACACACACACACACACACACACACACACACACCCCACACAGGACTGAAAATGTGACTCAGTCTTAGAGTGCTTGCCAAGCACATACCAACCAGACTTTAATTCCCAGCATTACCAAAAAAAAAAAAAAAAAAAAAAAAAAAAAGTCTAGTAGGATAAATGAATCATTAACAGCTTAACTAACAGCTTACTCATCAAAACAGGAAAGAGATAAGAAAAACTTTCATTTTTTAGTTGTATACGATATATGTACATGCATATTTTCAATTAACTTTATCCTAAGAGTAAATTCTTTTTTTAAAATTTTTTTTAGTTGTAGTTGGGCACAATACCTTTATTTATTTTTATGTGGTGCTGAGGATAAAACCCAGCACCTTAGCACATGCTAGGCGAGTGCTCTACTGCTGAGCCCCAGCCCCAAGAGTAAATTCTTACGTAAAACTTATTTATGAAAAAATAAAAACTCTAACTCCTAAATGTTCATACTCTTTTTCTCATTTTGTCACTTGCAAAAATCTTCCAATGTTTTTTGGTGGTGTGGAGGACTAAATCAGGGCTTCAATCATGTTAGGCAAGGCCTCTACCACTGACCTACGGCTCCAGACACCAAATTGATATTTTGAAATAATTATGTGTTGCTTTAGCAATATTTTTATGTTAAATCCAAGGTTTTTAAAACTTGACTATAAACTTTATAAAAACTTTCCATCCATTCTTTAAAAGAAGAATATTTAAGTGTTTTGCTGGAAATAATTGCATATTTTTTGTGAATATACCACAAACTACTGTATTATATTATTTAAAAGGTAAATTTTAAATAATATGCAAATCATTTCTGAATTTTTTGAAAAAGATAGTATTTTCAATCTGGAATTTGATTCCTAACATTGTTTTGTTTTAAGTACAGGAACTGAACCCTGAGGGACTTTATTACTGAGCTACATCCCAGCTCTATTTTGAGACGGGGCCTGAGTTACTGAGGTGCCTGGAGCTTGTGATCCTTCTGCCTCAGCCTCCTGAGTCACTGGGGTTACAGGGGTGAACCACCATGACAGAATGACTTTTAATATTATTTAACTTATTTAAAGCATTAGTGACATTTGTATGGATTAATTCCTTTAACACGTTAAAGAATTACACATTTTTAAACCTTAATTGCCAAATTTCAAAGAAGGCACATTATACCAATGATGGCTAATTCCTAACAGCCACACATCTGTCCCTCCTTACTGGTGAGATCCTGCTTTCGTCTGGTGTTGCAACATGCTCAGTTGTAAAAATATCTTCTTCCTTTGTCTTCAGTGCAATCCAGAGTAGCTGCATGATTCTGTTCCAGCCAATAAGATACAAATAGATATCTACCCTATTTCCCAATAACAGGATAGAGTCAGCTGTTGTACCTCTCACACCCTTTGCCCTTTCTCTGGTACAATTTAGACACAGTGGCTGGCGGTACGGCAACCACCTGATGAACTTGAGGATGGAGGACAAACTAAGGATAGACTAGACGCACTGGAAAGAAGACGACCAACTCTGGACAGCCTATTTCCAAACCACTTGTAACGAGAGAAAAGTGAAATTCTTAATTAGTACACCACCTGCAGCTGGGGTTGTCACATGCATTCACACAACCCAGATAAAACGAAAAATACATACCCTTACTATTTACTGACAACTAAATTAATGTTATCCATTACTTCAAAAGGAACACCAACAGAAATCATACCTTAACAGCAGTATTTGGTTTCATACCACACCGATACGTCTTTGCTACCTGTGGAGTGAGCTGGATTTCCTTGGTAAGCTGCCGCCACTTACCACACTCTGGTTTGGTACACTGAACCTAGGGAAAGAAGAGAGGTCAAGATCAACAGGTTGGCTAATCTTGAGCTACTTTTCCACCCTCCACCACTTATCCTGTGTCACCATTCCCCACATAATCCACTTCTACCCCATTAGGCTAATTTCTGATTCAGTACTAGCTCAGGCAACAACAAAGAGCACAGAGGAGCTAAGAACTGTTGTCAGAAAGATTTTCCAGCTCAGACTAAGGAAATAATCAGAGATGAATTTTGTTATCACAGGTCAAAAAAGTCAGTACACTCAATGCAAATAATGTGATACCCTGGGCTGGATCCCAGAACAGTAAAAGGACTAGATGAAAAAACAGATAAAATCTAAACAAAATCTGTAATGTCATTATTCACACTTGCCAATGTTAATTTCTCAGTCTGACAAACAATCATGGTACATAAGATGATTACATTAAGCAAACTGGGTGAAGGATATATGAGAACTCTCTATGCTATCTCTGCAACCTTCTGTACATTTTAAATTATTCCAAAATAAGTTATTTTTAAAAAGTGTGGAGAGGGCTGGTTTGTGGCTCAGTGGTAGAGTGCTCGCCTAGCACGTGCGAGGCCCTGGGTTCAATCCTCAGCACCACATAAAAATAAAGGTATTGTGTCCAACTACAACTAAAATAAATATTTTTTAAAAAAAGTGTGGAGATATCCACATGCAGAAGAATGAAGTCAGATTCAACTTCACACATAAAAATTAACTCAAAATGGATTAAACAACTAAATGTAATTGCTAATTCAATAAAATACTTAGAAGAAAACAGGGCATTATGTATACACACTGAATGGAATCCTAATTGGAAGGGGTTTTACTCCATGTATGTATGTCAAAATATAGTCTAGGGTCATGTTTATCAAAAAACAAAAAGTACAAGCCAAAAAGAAAAAAAAAAAACAGGGATTAATCTTTATGGCCTCAAATATGGCAGTGAATTCTTAGGTGTGGTACCAAAACCACAAACAAGAAAAAAGTGGACAAACTAAACTTTATAAAACTGAAAACTTTCATGCATCAAAGGACACTAGCAAAGTGAAAAGACAACTACAGTGAAAAAATATCTGCAAATCCAAGATCTGATAAGGGCTTAGTTTACATAATGTATAAAGAATTCCTACAACTCAAAAATAAAAAGACAACTCAACTTAAAAACAGGTAAACCATTTCAACAGACACTTCTCCAAAGAAGATATGCAAATTGCCATTAGTTAAAGAAACGAAAATCAAAACCACAGCGAGGGGCTGGGCTGTGGCTCAGTGGTAGAGCACTTGCCTAGCATGTATGAGATACTGGGTTCAATTCTCAGCACTGCATTTAAATAAATAAAGGTCCACTTACAAACTACTGTTATAGGTGATTTAAAAAAAAAAAAAACCCACAATGAGATACCACTTCACACCCACTTACAATTGCCAGTATATAAAATGTAAAACAAAATGAAAGTTGGGGAGGGCATTGAGAATCTGAGCCCACACACACAGAAATGAAAATTGTGGGGCAGCTATGGAAAAGAGTGTGAAGGTTCTCAAAAAATCAAATACAGAATTACGATATGGCCCTCCAATTCCATTCCTTAGGAATAGCCCTAAAGTAACTATAAACAGATATTCAAACAAATATTTATAAAAGAATGTTTATAGCCACACTATTCACAATAGCTAAAGGTTTAAAACAACCTAAGTGTCCATCAAAAGATGAAAGGATAATTAGGCTATCATGCAGTAGGATTCCATTTATAGGAAACACCCTAGCTGGATAAATCCATAAAGATGGAAAGCAGGGGCTGGGGATGTGGATCAAGCGGTAGCGCGCTCCCCTGGTATGCGTGCGGCCCGGGTTCGATCCTCAGCACCACATACAAACAAAGATGTTGTGTCTGCCGAGAACTAAAAAATAAATATTAAAAAATTCTCTCTAAAAAAAAAAAAAAAAAAAAAAAAAAAAAGATGGAAAGCAGATTAGCAGTTTCCAGGGACTGAAAGGTGGGAGAACTAGAGGGTGACTGCCTAATGTACAAGGTTTCCTTTGTGGGTGATGAAAGCAAGTTGGAATAATACAGAGGTGGCAGTTACACAACACTGTTAATATGCTAAATGCCACTGAATTGTATGCCTTAAATAGTTAATGTTAGGTCTCAGGATTTGGCTTAGGGGAAGAGCATGTATTTAGCAATGTTGAGATCAAGACTGAATCCCCAGGATGGGGTTGTAGCTCGGTGGTAGAGCGCTTGCCTAGCATGTGTAAGACCCTGGTTGGGTTAGATCCCCAGCGTCACATAAAACTAAATAAACAAAATAAAGGTGTTGTTCCATCTACAACTAAAAATATTTTTTAAAAAATTGAATCCCCCACCACCCCCTCCAAAAAAAACCTCATTAGACAACATTAAAATAGTTAATTCTGTTGTTTGACTTTCTACTTCAATAAAAAGTTTAAGTGTGTACAAGGCAGCTCAGAATTACTTGTATTAAAAAAAAAGCAAATCATTTATTAAGTGGTGATTTATGATATATATAATCACTAAAATATATTTTCAAAGAATGGCTAAATGGAAAAAGGATCATAAAAAGTAAGATTTAAAAAAAACAGTTAGAGGGGGCTGGGGATGTGGCTCAAGCAGTAGCATGCTTGCCTGGCATGCATGCGGCCCAGGTTCGATCCTCAGCACCACATACAAACAAAGATGTTGTGTCCGCCGAAAACTAAAAAAAAAAATAAATGTTAAAAAATTCTCTCTTAAAAAAAAAAAAAAAAACAGTTAGAGCCAGGTGCAATGGTGTACACCTATAATCCCAGCAACTCAGGAGGCTGAGGCTCTAGGCATCTTAGTGAGACCCTGTCTCAAAACAAACAAAAGCGGGGGTGGGAAGGGGGCTGGAATGTGGCTTAGTGGTTAAGCATCCATGAGTTCAATCCCTCGTACCAAAAATTTAAAACAAGTTGTAAAAAAAAAAAAAAAAAAAATCCAAATTTTTTAACCTAATTAAGATTTGTATATAAAGCACAAAATTATGTTTAAACAAACTCAAAAATATGAATAAATTAAAGACTAGAAGGATATATACCAAACTTAGCAATAACTATCACCAGCAGGTGTGAGGCGTTAGTTTCTTCCTATATTATCTTTCTATAAAAAATAATAATAATCAGAAAGAACTGAGAGTCATGGTGGTGTGCACCTGTAATCCCAACCACTTGGGAGGCTGAGGCAGGAGGATCACCAAGTTCTCTATAATCAGCCTGAGCAACTAGTAAGTCCCTAAGCAACTTAGCGAGACCCCATCTCAAAAATTAAAAAGGGCTGGGGATTTGGCTCAGTGGTTAAGCTCCCCAGTACCCACCCCCCAAAATAAATCAGAACAGAAGTAATAAAAGAAAGATTTTTTAAAAGTCAGGGTTTTCATCCATTGCTCTTCCTTTTAGCTCAATAAATGCTATTTCTTACCCAGTAGGGGAGCTGCTGGTCTGCCATGAATGCTTTGGGGCTAGGTTCAGTTTTGCCATTGCTGGTCCATATTTTTTTCCAGGAGGTATACTTATCATATCCATCTTTATGGCTGCAAACAATAAATATACCAAGCTACATGTCAAAACACAAGTCAGTTCAGTAAATTTTACATGAAGGACTAACCCAGTCTTTCACACAGAGGGAAGTTACTATGGCACCCATACAGCAGGCGGTCAGAAGGGGTGTTCTCTATTCCACGTTTGTACGATGACGACAGCATAACAAATTCTGCGGACATATGTAACCAAAAAGAACCAATTAAAAAAAAAAATTAATCTAATAAGGGAAAAGTATTCTCTAAAGGAGAAATTAGGATATTTTAAAATCTAAGAACTGGGGGTACAGCTCAGTGGTTGAGCACTTGTATGGCCGAGACCCCGAGTTCTATACCCAGAACCACCAAAAAAAAAAAAAAAAAAAGAATATTTTCAAATGTACACAGTAAATCTTAGGGTGGCCACTTAAAAATTACATCACTAGATTAAGTAACATAATCAAAAAATGTGCAATTAAAATCAGAGAAGGCAAAAGAGAGAACCAAGATAAACAACCAGCAATTAATATATTTCAATTCAACTATGTCAATAATTTCTTAAAATGTGAATAATACATACACATAAATTAAAGGCAGTTGAAAATTAAATCAGTTACTTATTTTGGTGCTGGAGCCTTGTACGTAAATAATCTTGGATCAAAGAAAAATACTCAAGGGAAATTTAAAAATACTTTGAACTAAATGAATGAAAATTATTGAGATTTGTGGAAGAAAATCATTTGGAGGGAAATTTATGGCATTAAATGCACTTCTTAGAAGAGAGATCTAAAATTAATAACCTTAAAGCTTCCAACTTAAGAAACTAGATAAAGAAAAAAATTAAACCTAAATCAACTAGAATAAAAAAATGAGAGCACAAAAAAATTGAAAATATAAACAAAGAATCAGTTCTTTAAGTAAAACTCCTATGCCACCAACCACATTAACAGAGAAGAAGAGGGGAAAAAAAAAAAAAACCCACAATAAAATTAGTAAAAGGAATGGCTGGCTGTCCAGTGCACTCTGTCCATCAGCAGCCCTCTCCCCTACTTCTGCACCCCACCGTCTGCATATTATGACAGAATAGCAGAGCGGCTCTGAGAGCTTTCAGAATGTATAGATCCGTGGCAGATATTTTTTGAGCCCTGAGTGTGTGCACATATAAGAAACACACATACAAACTGGCACATCAAAGTCCTGGTCAAAGTAAAAGTGGTCACAGATGTGACCAAAACAGTCCAACAATTCAGTGAGCCCAGGGACTAAGCCTTAACCCTGATCCCCTCCCTTGCCCTTGCCACCGTCTCACCCACCATGGACAGTTCAATTAGCAAACAAACCTTCTGTAATAATGGTCAAAGCATTCATTACAGAAATGCTCCCCACAGGAAAGGTGATACCATCGGGATGTGTAGCCATTTTTGGCACATCTGAAAACAGCAAAAACATGTAACTTTGATAAAAAATAAACATTTCTTTTCCCTTTAAAAAAAAAAACATTCAACAAGGGTATCCTATTGACATTATTTCCACATAAAACTCCTAATGGCCATGAGCCAACAACAGGGGAAACTGGAATGCAGGAGTATATAAAGTGAACCAAGTCAAGTATTCCTTATCTGAAATGCTTCAGACCAGAAGTTGAAGAATTTCAGAAATTTTTTGATTTTAGAATCTTGGCATACATATAAAACATTTTGAGGATGGAACTCAAACTTAAGTATAAATTTGTTTGTTTCATATGTACTTTATACACATATCTTGAAGGTAATTTCATACAAAATTTTATTAGCATTTGCATTTTGACTGAGGCCATCACATGAGGTCAGGTGTAGAATCATGTTGGCACTCAGAAAGTTTCAGATTTTAAAGCATTTTGGCTTTCAGATTAGAGATGCTCTATCTGCAGTACACAGTAGGGACACAAGGCCTTAGACCAGTGGTCTCTTGCCTAGCTGGCAGCCGGGGCCAACCCGGAGCATGGATGCTTATGCCATGACGCATCCATGCCACTGCACTTGAGTTGCTAGTGCAGAGGACTCCAGGAGCCCATTTGGCCCAATCCTGAACAGGGACGGATCCGGCCAGCTGTAATCTGAATATCACGCAGGCTATCTGGCCACGTAACTTGCCAAAGAGATAATACAGCAACAGAACGAGGAATCCTGCCACTGGGAGCACATCCCCCACCACCTCTGCATGTTTCAAAATAAGCAGGATGTGTTTTCCAGAGTTTATTGAATCTTAAGCCTTAACTAAAGATTTTCCTCTGGAAATGTCAGACTGCAGTTAACTACATAGTTTCTGTGAGACTTTTACATAGATGTGGGAAGACGTGGCATATTACACAAGGGAGAAAAATCAGTGACCAGTGATCACTCGCTGGTCTCCTCTGGAAGGTCAAGGATCTTCCCCACTGTGTCGCCAGCCCCTATGATTGGTGGCATATGAGGGCATTGTACTGCAGAGTTGGCATGGGTGTGCTCTCTCCCATTAGTCCAGGAGTGCCAAGGAGCTCTGTGGAGATGTGGAGTGTAGAGAATGAGCAATGTCTCTCTCTCTCAGGTGACTTTCAGTACTGGCATCTGTCTTTGGGAAAACTACCTTCTAGGAAGATGTCCCCACAAAGCACACTGCTCTCATGGGCAGCAACTCAAGGCCGGATGTGCCTTCCAAACAGACCTTTCAGAGGCACTTGCAAAGCACACAGGACAGGTAGCCGTACAGCCCGCCTTTTCGCACTTCCTATACTTCTTCTCTGACACGCCATCCTCGTCCTCATCTGCTGTCTCTGTTGCCTTCTTCTTTGCCTGTGGGAGAGTCAGCTGAGGTGAGGATCACTGGGCTGACCAGGGTGATGGGGTGGAAGGTGTGTTACTACTGAAACCACATGCGTTACGAGTTCCAAGTGTGAAGGTCAACAACATCCTGGCAGTGGCCCAGAGGCTGACCCACAGGAACCACTGCCTCATGACTCACTGCACACACAGTTCACTGGCTGGCTAGAGATACAGAACCAGCACTTTAATAGCAGGCACCTAGGAACTCAAATTCACCTGAGCCTTTCTCAGGAAAAAGTGACACCGCTCAGAGTAAACACAAGTCATTCTCAAAATTAAGACTTTTTTTTCTTAGAAGACTTAAACCCTTACAGTATTACAGACTTTTATTTTTTTAAAAAAGTCAGGAAAATTCTAGAGAGATAATTCTATCATTTTTTTCATGAAAAAGAAAAACACTACCAAAAGAAAGCAATACCTAACTGACTATAAGCAGAAGTCCAAATTCCTCTGAATGATATCCAAGCCGTGCATAATGGGGCCAGAGCCCCATCACCTAGTGCAATTCTCTGATGCCCATCTGCACGCCATGCCTTTATCCTTGCAGTTCCCCCAACCAGAGATGCAGCATTTCTACGTCCTCTCCCTTTATCATGCTATACCACGACTACTGTGATTTTCTCCACAATAGGACTAGAGGACTAGAGGTGTCTTCCCACCTCTAATTTTCCAGTCCCAACCATAATATTCCTGTATGCTCAAAAGAGGTTCATTGAGTGAACAAATGAACATACCTGCCTGCCGGAGCTCCTCAAAGGAAGGCTATCTGAACCATCATAAGCTGTTCTTTTCTTTGACCTTCCCCGAGGGGTTGCCATTATATTAAAAAAATCTGCCAAAAAAAAAGAAATTAAGCCACTCAATATTAGCATCTGCTATTATTTTCAACTGTGTGGAGCAAAGTATGTAGTTTAGTAGGTATGAAGGCATACTAGACTGCTTGGGTGTAAAGCCATCACTTCGGAATTACTTAACCTCCCCAAGTGTCCTCAGATAAAATGGGCATGGTAAAGGTGTACCACATCAGTGGCATGAAAATTAAACAAGATAATTTAGAGCACCAGTACTGGCAGAAGTACTCAATAAATACTACCCATTAGTACTATGTACACTTTTAAAATGAGAAACATATCACATGAATGATCAATATTCAAATTACACAACTGTTTGTAACATTCAGTAGGGAAATATACCTAGTTTTTGTTGTGTTCCCCTTTTTCCATCTCACTGTGTCTTCTTACCAGTTCCTGAATTCTGATGCCTTAGTATACTTTAAAAACTTACTCATTCCTTCTTAGTAAACTCAATAGATGAGTATCAGGCACAATGTGTGGTCACTACTGAACACAGGAATCTGGATTAGATAGAAGCACTGGTATCTTCTACTAGATCAATTTTAAGCATTCTCAAACTGTTTAATCATGTTGTTGTTATAATAAACAATAAGAACTAAAGACTACAAGATAAATAATGAATAGTAACATGAAAAACTGAAAGCTATTCGAATTTTTTCAATTAAGGATAGAAAAATACTTAGCATAAGTAATTAATAATATATGGATTCTGTAATTATCATTCATTCCCTTCCCTGATCCATTGTTTTTACTATGTGTGCACACATATATGAAATAATAAAATGAAAAATAAATAGGACATACCTGTGGATAGGAATTTCAAAGTAGAAAAGTATTACCATAAAATACAAATCCCATATACACAAACTTAATCTCGGAGAAAAGCTTTGAAGATTTTGTAATCCTACTGTTTCATATTTATGCATTATAATAACATCTTTAAGAGTACTTTTCATGGATTATTAACATCATGTGGAAAAACTTTGCCATCTACCCTTATTCTGAGAAGCCTTCCTATCAACAATTTTCCTTTGACTTAGTCTTCATTTTCTTAGAAACAATATAATTTTACCTATGAACCATACATATTCTGAAGTGCACTATACTTCTTTAAGCATTAAATAACCGCTTAGGGGCCTGAGGGTGTAGCTCAGTGGTAAAACGAATGTTTTTCATGCATGAGAAGCTGGGTTCAATCCCCAGCACCAAAATAAATAAGTTGACATTTAGTTCTATAACATCCTTGTACTGCTAGAGAAGGTGCTGGTAATTTAATAATAGTACCTACCTAATCGTTGTTATACTCTAAGGCTTTCTGGGTCTCATTTGTGTTTTCAAAAAGTCTGACAAAACTCTCTATACATAAAAATATGAATATATAAATATGAATTCTTACACATAAATCTTCACATATTTATTTTTAAAATCTATACATTATTCATAAAAAACAAAAAAAGAATGTGAAAATATATAGTATTATGCACAGTACAATTTTTTTTGGACAGGGACTGAACTTAGAGCCTCCTGAATCCTACCACTGAGCTACACCTCCAGCAGTACATATGGTATTGTAGCAAAATATCTGAAGGGGGGTTCAGGAACAAAAATGAAATCAGCCAAGGTTCCTGCAATATTTGACTCTGTCACCTAGGAATGTTTCCTAAAAGCATAGTTTCCAGAAATTTCAAATATTTTAATCAAATTGTACACTGAAAATGTTCTTAATGCAATAAAAAAATAATATAATTCAAGAAGTAGTTAAATACGAAATGGAAACACTATAAAGGCCATTATTAAATTTGATCAAAGGTTTTTAAAATAGTACATTTCACCTTTAATTATACAATTATGTACCTCCATTCTTTTTTTAGCACTTGACATAATCCCTATTTTCACTGTTGCTGGGTCTTAAGAGAGAAAAAATAAGCGAAGTTGTAAGGAAGTTTTTAAACACCGTCTTAGAAATACTAACCAAAGTGTCATTAAAATAAACTGGGATACTCAAAGTTTTCACATCTGATTCTTTAAAGACACCTAAGTAAATATAATGTTTCATGTTCAATACTTTATGAGCACATTTCTTCCTAATTTGAAATGCACAGCTTTGGTTTGCTTTTAATGTGATAAAAGAAAAAAGCAGGTGTTTTCTATAAACATACAAGTGGCTATATCAATACCCAGACTTCTACTTAAATAATTCCCAGGTGTTTCTGAACCACCTTATTCAGGAACTGTTTCTTAAAACATACAGAATTCACAAAAATGTGAATCAAGAGGATTCCAAATCTACAGTAGAGTCAGCATAATTTCTAAAATTAGAACAAACTAATACTAGAAACTTCTTCACAGACCAAAGAAAGAATAATTTCCCTTTGGGCCACTTAAAATAAGGCAAGACTAATACCTTACTACTCCTACACTAATCAAATTCTCAGGAATACGGACCCAGAACTATATTCAACATTGAACGACTCAGTAATGCAACACGGAATCCCCACCCGCCTGGACGTCTTTTGTTGACCACTTTCTCCGCCGGGGAGACAATTAATTATTGATGGTCATTTTCTCCTGTGCGCGCCTCCTGAAGAAAGCTCCCTCCCACTCGCCTTTCTTCCACTGAAATATTTTTAAAAACAAAAATAAAACTGGCCGACCCGTGCGCCGCGAGCGTAGCGGGGAGCCGGTGGAGTCCCGCCAGCCGCGCCGAGCACCGGGCTCTCCGCGGCGGGGCCCCGGGCGCGAGCGCAGCCGCCGCGGCTCCTCGGGGCTCCGCCGGCGCCGCGCCGCGGCCCCGCTACACCTGCGCGGCCCTGGGCGAGCGAGGGCGCTCCCGCCACACCGGGTCCCGCGGCCGCCCCGGAGGGGAGCCCCGTCCCCTCCCTCGTCAGAGAAGCCGCCCCGGGCTCACCTCTGCGCACGGAGGCGCGGCGAGCCGGGGAGGGGCACCGCCGGGGGAAGGAGACGCGGTCAGGCCCGGAGGCTCGCCGCCCCGCGCCCCGCCGCGAACCCCGTGGTCCCGACACCGCGGCCCGGAAATGCCCCCGCTCTGAGGAGACCCCCGCCCCACAAACCTTGCCCTCGGCGGCGGCGCATTCAGCTCCCGGGACGCCCCCTCGCCTCGCTCCCGGGCGGCAGGCGCCGCGCCGCAGAGCGGAGGGGAGGGCTAGCGACCCGCCCCGCCGCCGACCGGAGCTGTCATCCCGCCGCCCCCGCGCCCGCCCCCTACCGCGAGCCCCACCTCGCAGCGGCAGCCGCGGTGCGCGCTGCCCGGCTGCCGGCACCCCTCTGAGCCGCGCGCAGGACCCAGCACACGCGCGGCCGCGCTGCTTCCGCCCCTACCGCGGCGTGACCCGGGGTGGGAGGAGCCGGAGAAACAACGCACGAGGCCCCGCCCTCGCCGCCGCCGCCGCGCGCCCCGCCCCCGCCATTTCCGCGGCTGCGCAGGCCCGGGCTCAGGGACAGGCGGGGCGAGGTTCGGGGGAAGGAGGAGCGCCCCTGAGGGGCGAGGAGTGGGCGGGGCGCCGGCAGGAGGGGCGCTCGGGGGCGGAGCGAGGGAGGACAGGGGCCCTCCGGGGGCGTGGCCTCTAGGGTGGGGCACTCCGGGAGGGGCGGGGCAGGAGGCGCGGAAGGAGGAGGGGCTATCCGGCGGGGCGGGGCCTCGGGGGAGTAGGAGGGGCCCTTTGGCGGGAGCTCCGCGGGAGGAGGGACGCGGGCAGAGACAGGCAGCCGGGGACCGGAGAGGTGAGTCCTGGGGCGCCCTGAGCGAGCCGGGAGGAGAGTGTTGCCTGGAGTGCCTGCGCTCCTGGAAGCCTTCCCGAATTCGCGAACCGGGAGCGCGGATGCCATCCGCGCCCTGAAATGGGGTCAAGGAACCTAAGCGAGAAGTAGTACTAAAGAGGTCAGGTAGCGCACGGTCCTTGAATCCAAGATTTCAAGAGAACGCACGAAGCACTGTTTATATTGGTGAGTTTTAAGAAAAGAGAAAACTGCCAAAATAGTGACTTGTGCCCTTGGGGCAGGGAAAGCTGGGAGTCGTGAATATTCTAAGGCCTGCTCAGTGGTGTGTTAACTAGCGTGTGCATTTGTAAAAAGCTTCACCAAGCCCTTACTCAAAATTTGTGTGACTTAGGGAAGTCACTCAATCCAACAAAATATTAAAATGTAACTAAAGTAGAAATAGGGTTTATTTTTTTAAGGTGAAGGAGGACCTGGGCGACCGATGAGCACATTTGAAATTAACTTTTATGAGAAGGGATCATTGTGAAATTTGCCTTTTCTGATTCTGGTACTTTGCGTTTATATCGTGTTGAGAAACATTATTTCTTAAGAAATGACCTAGACAAGTGGAGTACACGTTAAGAAGCTGTTAGAATTAAGAAGTGATGATATTTATGATATTAATATAGATCAAGTCTGTGGAAAAGGAATGGAGTCTTGTAATTCCGGATTGCTCTAGTGAATGATATAGACTGTGCTTCCCATTTAGTTTCAGTAAAGAACTTCTGTAGGAGGGATCTCTGGACTCAGGGGTCCAGTTCCTGCAACTCTCTTGCTTTTGTGTACCCAATATAATCGAACACTTCCCAGGGCCTCTCAGAAAACTGTCCCCTTCTGATATCTTCAAGGCCTTGCAAAAGCCACTTGTTAACAAGTATTTGTTGAAAAGTGAATCCTGAAATATGCCTTTTCCTTTAATCCTAAGCACACTGATGCCAAATTGTGCAACAAAAGGGGAACTTTTTCCTGAAATTCTTGCTTTTATGCAAATTTGCTATTCATGAATAAATCATTAAGTTTGAGCTGCCAATAATAACATGCTAGTTCAATCCAAACCAAATTAGCTTCGCTAATGATTTAAAGGGAATTTTGGAATTGTGGTGTTTGTCCTTAATATTGCAAAATTGAAAGGACATTTTCCTCTACATTCTGATAGACCTACAGGTATGTTTATATGTTCTTTTTCTCAGTTCCCTTTGTGTGCATTTTCCCACGCAAAAAATAAGCTAGGAGAAAATTATTTTAAAATACAGATTATGATGAACAAATGAGATACTGAACTCCTGCATGTATTTTGCCTCCTTCTTGAAACCCCACCAATAACAGAATTTAATCCTCATATCTGATGATTAAGAGTTGAGAGTATATTGATGGGAAACCAGGACAATTGGCAGAGCTTGGAGTTGAATTAGTGAGTTCATGAAAATTTTATAAATGAGAGAAACCAGTACAGAATCAAAAGTTGTGAAGAAAAGGAAAAGTAATCATAGAATACTATATTGTTAAACTTTGAACCTACCTAGTTATAATGTACACACCAAATATTTCAACAAAAGTATGTTGCGAGTATATTTGAAAGATAGGAAAGATGAGAAGGATGGTGTGTGTGTGTGTGTGTGTGTGTGTGTGTGAATGAATGTGTGCCTGGAATTTGTAAGAGAGGTAAATGCTCATCTTCTCTAGATGCTACCTAGAAATGAACAAATTAAGAAGATACAAAATAAACATGCAAATTTAAGATAGCATGACCCAGCTAAAAGAGTTAAAGATGGTTGTCTCTCATGGGGAAAAAGGACTGCTTATTTCATAGCAAATCTGTTAAACTCTTCAAATTGTGTATACTATAATATTGATGAAAACTAAAACATAAATATGAAAATTTTTAAAATTAAGATGCTAGAAAAAATTCTAAGTTTATGAATGTTACTGTGTGATGTCTGATTTTTTTTTCTACCTTTTTGAAGCTTAAATCCTTCTCTTTTACTGTAGTGTTAAGGCATAATTCAATTTATTTAAAGATCTTTCCTAATGTGTAACATGAGTTATGCCTCTACCATCAGACTCACTGAAAAGTAATTTTTTGCATGACTTTCTGTTGAATTGTGAAATATTTGTTAGAAGCCGTACTCCCAAGGATACTAGGTTTTCATTGAGTTTAGTAGTAGAATTGCAGGGTCCTTAAATAACAACATTGCACATATTTTCCATTTAGGAATTGGAGATATCTGCCTGTAGACAAAGGTGTCTATTATACACAATGAGTGATACAAGAACTTCACTTGATATTGAAGAGTACCCCGATTGGGAGGTACAGAAAAACCGAATACTAACCCTGGAAGAATGGCAGGACAAGTGGGTGACCCACAAAATTGGATTTCATCAAGAACAAGGACATCAGTAAGATATGTTTGTTCTATGAAAGAGAAATTCTGTATCACACACTGATTTTGAAACAGAAATAATAATATCAGTTGTTAGACTGATTTTTAAGAGGCACATTTTTAGTTTGTCATACGTATCAATTCTGAAATGAGAATGCATCTGTGGCATGTCATAATTGAATTGGCAATCTGTTTTCTTCCAATAGAGTACAAACAATGATGCGACTTACAACTGAAGGCATCTTAGATTTATGATATGTCTTTCTTTATAAAATTGCTGGTAGCAAGGCTGGGGGGCTGTGGCTCAGTGGTAGAGCACTCACCTGGCCCGTGTGAGGCACTGGGTTTGATCCTCAGCATCACATAAAAGTAAAATTAAGGTATTGTATCCACCTACAATTAAAAACTACATATAAAACCAAATTGCTGGTAGCCTCTATCTATGGTCATGCAGGCCTATACAAAGCAGATGCTGAAGTACCATCTCTCTATACTCCAAAGTGGGGGTGTTTTGACAGATTTCCAGTCACATGTATTCTATTGTTCTTCTGTATGGTGAAGAAGAGAGAGGAAGAGAAAATATGTGAGCTAGAATATCAAGCAACTTCTTAGCAGCAGTATTTGTCTTTGTAGAAGCAATGACAAATTATGGAACCCATTTGAGTTAAGTGATCATTATAGACAATCTTTGTTCTAGGCCAACACCCCACTATCCAAAAGATGTTGTTTTCATTATTATTATTATTATCACTTTTTCAGTGAATAGAAATTGAGGCATCATCCCAGAACATTGTTATAGATCACCTCTGCCTTAGGGGTGGCCTTAGAAGAGCCACGTGTCCGTAGAGGAAATTAAACTGTAAGAGTTAAAGTTATTTAGAGAAATTTCCATAAAACAGTTGTTGAAAACTCCACAGGTTCAGAGGCTCCCTCTCCACAACACTTTCTTTGTTAAGTATACATGTGAAGATTAATACAGAATTTTCAAAACACATTGACCAAGAAAAAAAAATTTTTTTAATTTTAATTACGGATCAGGAAAACCCAGTGTGTAAGTCATTTATTACTAGAAGGATGACTAAACCAGTTACTTAACTGTCCTGTTCATTCATATGTAAAGTGAATGTTATAATAACATTACCTACTCATTAAGATTTCAGAGAATTTTAAATGAGGTGATGCATAAAAAGTCATCTGTGTGTACATCACATTTTTTTCTCTCTCCGCAGGCTGTTAAAGAAACATTTGGATACTTTTCTTAAAAGGGAGAGTGGACTAAGAGTATTTTTCCCTCTTTGTGGAAAAGCTGTTGAGATGAAATGGTAGGAAGAGATTTCCATCAACATACTGGTCTTTCACGATAAATTCTTTGAGTGAATATTTAACAGGATATAGGTTGAAAAGTGGCACATGTCTGTAATCCCAGCTACTTGGGAGACTGAGGCAGGAGGACGGTCAAGGCCAGCCTGGGCAATTTAGTGAAACCCTGTCTCAAAAAATAAAAGGGCTGGAGATGTAGCTCAGTGGGAGAGCACCCATGGGTTCAATCCCCAGTACCAAAAAAAAAAAAAAAAAAAATCGTCCTCAGGAAATGCAGAGGAATTCTTTATTTTTAGTAGACTCTTATTGATAGTTATGTAATTAGAGGCAATATTTTCAAACAGTAATAAAGGAAGCAGACACAGGTTTTTTGCATTACATTTCAAAGGAAAAAAATTAGTTTGGAACCAGCAGGGGAGAAAACCCAGTATCTTTGAGCATGGTTTCATTATTGTAGGTAGTTGAGGAATTAACCTAAATTAACTTTAGGTATTTGAAATAGAGATAAACAGAAAAATTTTAAATGTCTTATAAGTTTTTGGCAGGACAGTGTTTATGGTCCACTGTGCAGCTCAGCTCACTCTCTCACTATGAGCAAATAAAAATTTTTGTAATGACAAGGTGTGGTGGCATACACCTACAATCCAGCTACTCAGAAGGGTGAGGCAAGAAGATTGAAAGTTCAAGGCTACCCAGGGTAACTGCTTAATGAGACCCTGTCTTTAAGGAATAAAAAGGGAGAGGGGCTGAGTGTCTGATTACATGCCTGTAATCTCAGTGGCTCCAGAGGCTGAGACAGGAGGATCGCAAGTTCAAAGCCAGCCTCAGCAATAGTGAGGCGCTAAGCAACTCAGTGAGACACTGTCTCTAAATAAAACACAAAATAGGGCTGGGGATGTGCCTTAGTGGCCGAGTGCCCCTGAGTTCAATCCCTGGCACCACCCCACCACCAAGAAAAAAAAAAAAAAAAAGGAAAAGATACTGGGGATGTAGCTTAAGGGTAGAGCACTTGCTTAGCCATGTATGAAGTCCTGGGGTCCAATCCTCACACCGTCCAAAAACAAGAGAGTTTTTTCAATCATGAATCATTGTTATAAAATCAGTGATGCATAAAATATTCCTTGCAAGTAATTCCTACCAAAATAATTCACATTAATTAATAAGCCACTGTTACTGTGGGTTACCCTAAAGTCAGGAACCTGGAATTTGTTTTCTATACAGAACTCTGTTTTAATAATACACACACACACACACACACACACAAAACACAAGCTTACCTGCCAAGACATCTTCATTTTTAAGCTTAAATGTTGAGAAATTTGATCATTAAGTAGGAAAGAAAAAAGACTACTAAATGCAAAATATAGTAAAGGCAAAATAGAGTAAAAATATTCTGTTCCCTCTATCATCAGTGACTATCCATGGAGGAAAGGTGTATTTATAGTTGGTTTTTCAATAAAGATGGCAAAATTTTGACAGCTCTCGCTCTTTCAACTTATAGATAAGAGTGTATGTTAAGGGCTGAGGATATACCTCAGTTGGTAGAGTGCTTGCCTCACATGCACAAGGCCCTGGGTTCAATTCCCAGCACCACAAAGGGAAGGGGAGAGAGAGAGAGAGAATATGTTAAACGGGTGCTGTGGCTTAAGATCCAATGTGGCCATGAACTTGAGAACATTTCTCTCTATTGTTAGACATAGGGGTTGACCACCTCACTGAACCAGAAGACAGAGTTACTTTGGAAACTATTTGCAAATAGTTTATATTAACTCTATTAACAATATGAGGAATAAACCAGTTAAGTGTGGTTGTTGAATATTTTTTGGTCTAAAGCCATTTGGAGCTGGGACTGTAGCTCAGTGGTAGAGCACTTGCTAGCATGCACAGAACCCTGGGTCCAATCCCCAGCACTGCAAAATATAATAACGATGACATATCAGAACTGAGCTACTGTGGTGGCATGTAAGTTATTATATTAGAGAAATTTTCATTTATTTAACTAGGTCCATGTTCGAAATCTATATAGACATCAGAGTGAATAGATCAACTTAACCATAAGCATCAAAATGAAATGTTTAAGCTGTTTAGGCTTTTGTTTTTATTTTGTTTTGTTTTAATGCCACTCTGTTGTAGAACATGCTTCATTTTTCCACGTGTTGAATGAGGGGGAAAATGTAGTCAATTTGGATACTTTCTTTGTTTATATTGTATAATTTCAAAAAATGCATTTTTTGAAAATGAAAATTAAAAAATATTCCCTGTGTATTAGTTCACAAATTTCCTAGGAAATACAAGAGAAGCAGTTAGTATGTTTCATTTTGGAACTGCAAACAGTTCATGCTCTGCCCTGGTTGAAAGGATGTACTCTTGTGTAGATAATAGGTAACAGTCAGTCTTGTTCTTGTTTTGAAAATGTGAATTTTGTTCTAACTCAACTGATATTCTGGGGAACAATTAGAGGACTGTATGATTTTTCCATTTGCTTTCTGGTGATTTCGTCTGCAAGAAACGTTAGGCAAAAGCAGAAGAGTGCTCCAACGTGTGCTGACCAGACAGCACGTGCCTGCGCACACACCCCAGCACCACCTGCAGCCTCAATTTACCCCAGGTGCTATGAGCCTATGTTGTGCTCGCCAGGTACTGCAACTTTCCATTTGGTTTCCAGTAACACTCCTCCATCACTTCACAATAATTCACCAATCGCAGCCCTGCCAGTGCCCACCTCTACAAGAAAACTTTAGGTCTTTTTCAAGGGGAAGTGCCATGTGGCAGTATTTATCTATTCTTAACCATTTCACATGTGTGAACCCATTATTGTCAGGTTCCTGCTTGTTTCTGTTTACTGTGGCACTGTACAGTTTTTAAATGTCGTTCCCTAACCCCCACATTTCCATCAGCCATGTGACTACATGGCCTGCACAATTTTGCATACTGTAGCGATTTTTAGGAAAGCATGTGTCACACTGCAGCAGAACTGACTATTCTTATGTAATTGGACCTAACCTTATTACTGTGCCAAGGTATTTGTGCTGTTGATTGTGGGAAACCAACCTCACCCATGACTGAGTCACACTCCCTGGCTGGGTGCTGAGGCGCTCAGTCACATAAATGTGGCAGAGCTTTCCCACCCTTCTTAGGTCCGAGGGTCGGTGTCTCGTGCATGGGTGTGTCTTGCTACAGCCCCATGGGTGAAGCTATGCTCACCTGTTCCTTTGTAATATAATCCCTTGCCCTGTTTAGGATAGAATCTTCCATGGAAGTGCCTTGTGTGTGTCCCCTTCTCTTACTGTACCCTTGGGTGTGGCCTACCCAGGTGTCAATCAACCTGCTGACAGTGGACACCATGAAGATATAGACTCAGCTCCCTGAAACCTGACTCCTTGCCTCATTTGAATACTTTGCCTCAATAAAAGGGGTCAGCGCATGCTTTCGCCCTCTCTCTTCCTGAGGACCCTTAAGGTCAGAGGAGCCGTCACAGTATTTGTGTCTCTCGTGTGGTTATTTTGCGCAGCCCAGTCAGCCCAGTTTACCTGGAGTGACCCCTGAGCCTTTAAGTTGCGAGATCAGAAACCCAGCAGTTGATACTATTTTCTCCAGTGTCCAAGATCCCAAAACTGTGATTTCTATAATTAGCTTGCCAGGAAAATGTTAGTTGCATATGCTGATAAAAAAATTTAGGATATTTGTTATAAATAAATAGAAATGAGATAATTATAGAAATGGAAGCTAATGTTCTAGAGCTGTGTGCTCCAATATAGTAGCTACGCATCACAGTGGCTTTATATGTTTAAACTAAATAAAATTTAAAAATCAGTTCCCCCCCAAAAAAAAATTTCAGTTCCTCTGTCAGACCGCTGTTTGGTAGCCAAGGAGTTAATGGCCACTGCACTGAGCCGCACAGATATAGACCTGTCCTCCACACGCAATGGTTTAATGGAAAGCATGGATTTAGGGACATTGAAAGCATTTCCTCAAGTCAGATACATAGGTTTAAATCAATACTCAACATTCCAAATTTTATTTTTTACTAAAGTCATATAAATCAACTTTGCAGAAATCTACTTAACAGGAGGTTTGAAAGTACATAGATCCCCCTGTCTTTCAAGTCTTGTGGAAGGAACCTCATGAACCTAGATATATATGAATCCCTTAAAATTAAAGAAAACATGTTTATTGAGGTATATGCCTTTATTTAGTATTTTATTTGGATTGTAAGTATAAATATGTTGTTTTTTGTAGGTTTGCTGACCGGGGACACAGTGTAGTTGGTGTGGAAATCAGTGAACTTGGGATACGGGAATTTTTTATGGAGCAAAACCTCTCTTACTCAGAAGAACCAATTGCTGAAATTCCTGGCACCAAAGTATTTAAGGTTTGTTTTGATCTTGGTAAGTAATTATATACAGTAAGGAACTAGGGCCTCAAAATATAGATGGTAGCTAGCCAAATATATATATATATATATATAGATAGATAGATAGATAGATAGATAGATATATAGGCGTAGAGAAATACAAAAGCTGAGGTCAAAGTCTCTCTGTACTCCACTGCACTGAGCCGCACAGTTTGGTTTGGTCTGTGTGTGTGTGTGTGTGTGTGTGTGTACGCATGCACGCATACACACTAGGTGTTGGACTGGAACACAGGGCCTCATGTATGCTAGGCAAATGCTCTACCACTGAACTATACCCCTAACCTTTTATTTTTCTATTTCTCCTTCTCCTCCTTCTTTTTAAATTAATAGTCCTTTTCTGAGAATCTATTAGGTGGCAAAACCTGTATCAGACATTGAAGAAATAAAAGATGATATAGTCTCTGCCCTAAAAAATCTCTTAGCTTAGGAGAAAAAAGAAACAGAAACGAAACTACGTAATGCATGGAACAAACTTAAAGACCTAGGGGATTAAGGGAATGACAGGGAGTGACCCAGCCCAGCTTGGGGTACACACTGACTCATGGTGACAAGCCTGGGAAAAGGCAAGGCTTGAGTCCCTGATCTCAGATGCCCCCGGAAGTCAGCACTGCTTCTGCACAGTGGGGTTTAAGTAGCATCAGGACAGGGCCAGATTTCCATTAGAGATAGATCACCTTTACGCCTTCATGGGAATTTACTTGAAGGGAGGTAGCCTCTCAATAGGAGGGTGTGGCAGTGGCCCAGGAAGGAGATCTCAAAGGCCTGGGGGAGGAGAATGAGGCATGGAGAGAATACAGGATGAATTAAAGCAACATTTGCAGTGTCACTGGCAGGGTTTGGAGACTGAGCGGGGATAAAGGGGGTGATGGGTTCCATTTCTAGCTCGGGTAACTAACTAGTCAGGTGGTAGAGAATAAAGCAGCAAGTCGAAGAGCAGAGAAAATGAGTTCTATTCTGGGGATGATGAGTTGAAGGATACGAAAGGGGTGGTGTTAGGGCTGGAGACGATGGCTTTGGGGGTTGTCATCACCCTGATCCAGTGGAACAATGCCTCTAGTTTGCAGTAATAATAGAGAAATAAACAAACCCACCCAGATGACAGCAGAGGCTGATTTTAAGAGGGAGTCAGCCACTTGTGTTTAGCAGAGACTCAAAGGCTGCAGAAGAGCAGGAAAACATGATAGTGGGGGAAAGGCCTCCTGGTGTGTACTGACCGGAGGCTGTTGGCCTGGGGATGTGCCAGGTGGGCATCTAGGATGGCCATCCTGTGTGGCTGGTTGGGGAGTGTATTTGATTTGCTGTGGTAGGTCAGAGTTGGAGGGGCTGGTGGTAGGTGTCAGGGAAGCTGGCAGTCATTAACCAGGTAGACCCAGGTTGTGGTTCAGAGTCATGTTGTCATAAATGGCCTGGCTGTTGTCCATTTGTATACCCAGTCTCTCACAAATTCTCTTCTAAATATTGAAATTTATTGCTCAGTTCAGTACAAGACTTGATAACACTTTGCTTTAAAGTTACCCCACCTCCAACCCGTTCTCAATCATGTAGGAATTCTGGGAGTTTGCTTAGTCCAAAGAAGCTAGGCCTGCTTCCAGACTCCCTCTTAGGGTAGTGCTTTCCAGCCCTGGCTGCACATTTAAAATCATCCATGAGTCTTTTAAAAATTCCCAAGTCTCACCCAAGTCAATTAAATTGGAGTCTTCTGGGGCAGGAGCGTCAATACTGGTTAAAGCTGCCCAGGGATTCCAGTCTGCAACCAAAGGAGAGATCCACTGGCTGTTTTTCCAGCCTCCAGCATCCCCTACCCTCTGGATGACCCCCACAGAGCTTCCAAGCTGGTGTTCAAGACCTTCTCTCCTCTACTTGGGAACCTGTACTGGTGCCTTGGTTCCGGTCAAATCTGGCGCATCCTGATGCACCTTTCTTACACGGCCCTCCCCCGCACTCCCAGCTCCCAGACTTCTCAGGTCTGCATCGTGTTGCTCTCCCTGGAGTGCACCCCCAGCCCCCCACTTTGATGTCAACAGATACATCAAGACGCCATCTGAGGCTCCCTCTTGTTCAACCTGCCCCAAGGATCCCGGAAAGCCCCTTGCTCTGTCTTCTGTGTTCACAATGTCCTCAGGCACACACCATGACCAAACTGGCCATCTGTTTCTCTGTCATCCTGTTTCTCTGCAGTCAGAGACTGAGTCAAACTCACATGCATTACCTAGAGTTCAGGATAGGTCCCCTCCTGTCACCCAAGTGCTCAGTCAACAAGTGCTCATGGTGGAGTGATTGAGAAATGGGGGAGGCAGTACAAACACACTTTTCCTGAATAACATTTTAAATATGTATGAGTGGAGTCATCAAGAGAACAAACAATAATAAATGCACTTTCACACTGTTGGTAGGACTGTACATTAATATAACCACTGTGGAGAACAGTGTGGAGGTTTCTCAAAAGGTTAGGCATGGAACTACCATATGACCAGCTATCCCCCTCTTTGGTATTTATCCTGAAGAATCAAAATCATCATACTATTGAGGTACATGCACACCATGTTTATAGCAGCACAATTCACAATAGCCAAACTATAGAACCAACCTACGTATTTGTCAATAGATGAATAGGTAAAGAAAATGTGGTATTTATTCAGCCACTAGCAGGAAAGTGAATGGAACTTGAGACCATTAGGTTAAGCGAAATAAGCCAAACTCAGAAGGTCAAGGGTTGTGTTTTCTTTCATATATGGAAGCTAGAGAGGAAAAAGAGAAAGAAGGTTGTGGTGGGGGGTGGATCTTATGAAAAACGGAGGGAGATCAGAGCAGGGGGTGGGAGAAGGGAAGGGAAGGGGGAACTGCTGTGGAGTGATATTGGCCAAATTGTACTGTTATATTACGTGCAAGTACAAACAGGTAACTCAAATCCCATCACTGTGTACAACCATAATGCACCAATTAAAAAATCTGTCTTGGGCTGGGGATGTGGCTCAAGCGGTAGCACACTCGCCTGGCATGCGTGCGGCCCGGGTTCGATCCTCAGCACCACATACAAACAAAGATGTTGTGTCCGCCGAAAACTGAAAAATAAATATTAAAAAATTTTTTAAAAATAAATAAATAAATAAATCTGTCTGTATCAGCAGGCTGATTGAGCTGCAAATTTATCTATAGCAGGGCGAAAATGTCAGGACCCTACTCAAGTAAGCATTACTAGAATTTTAACCTCAAAACACATAATACGTCAGGGCCGGGGTTGTGGCTCAGTGGTAGAGCGCTCGCCTGGCATGTGTGAGGCCCTGGGTTTGATCCTCAGCACCACATAAAAATAAATAAATTAAATAAAGGTATTGTGTCCATCTACAACTAAATATATATATAAATATAATACCTCACTGATCTTTAGGGTTGTACTCTATGATTTTCCTCTTTGAGTTGGTCCTAAAGAACCCAACACAGGTTTTAAAAGAGTAAATAAGGTACATTAAATTAATTAATAATTAATTGTAAATTAAACTACATTAAAATTGCTGTGTTTACTATGTATTTCATTCTCTCTTTGCCGCCTTTGCTTTTTTTGGAACTTCTTTTTCTTCTTTGGCATTCAAATACACCTTAACTAAGTAGAAAAAATTTTTTCATTGTTTCATTACAGAGTTCTTCCGGGAATATTTCATTGTACTGTTGCAGCATTTTTGACCTTCCCAGGTAAGACTGAATTCTACATCTATGCTTTCAAAACAGTGGGTGCTGGCCAGGGGCTGGGGGTCTTCTCGTCACTTCTGCCTGTTGGTGTAAACTCCATGAGGCACTGATTTGAATCTCTGTTCTGCAGATATTTTTCTTATAGACTCCTTATCTGTCCATTAATATTCTCGGAGAGCTCCCAAACTAGGAGATAGCTCCCAAACCCAGGCAAATAGGAAAAGGTAGGGGGAGTGAGATAGTGTCTTCTACCCTGCTCCTGGCCTGCGCAGAAGTGAACGGCTAGGTTCACCAGCAAGCAAGATCCCATCTGAAATTTCTGATAGCTGAGCCAGAGGCTGGGAGCAGAGTTGTCAGACATTGTCCTTCATTTCTCCTTGTGTTTCTGAGTCATAAAATAATAGGGAAACCGCTGCCACAGGCTCTTAAACTATAAGGAAATGGACAGCCCCCCACACCCAGATCAACATACCCCTGGAGTCCGTGAAGAAAAGCAGACCTGAGATCCTAATCCCTTGATGCTGGGTGAGGCACCAGCGTGTGCCATGGGGAACTGGTACATCTTGTTCAGGATTTGACTTTTCATACATAAAATGTTGCAATTTCTCCCTCTGTCTTTCTGGTAGAGCAAATATTGGCAAATTTGACAGGATTTGGGATAGAGGAGCATTAGTGGCCATTAATCCAGGTGATCGCAAATGGTAAGTGATTTGGATTTTGTTTTCTGTTTCTTTCTTTTTTTTTTTTTTTTTTTTTACAAACCCACTGAGTTTTAGGAAACCGTAGGATTTCACTCTAGGAACCTAGGTATAAGGCTGTGGCTCTGTCACTTTTATGCTGTGTTGCCCTGGTCAAAGTACTCAACTTCTCTTGGCCTCTGTGTTTACTCCTCTGCAAACATGGAATATCGCTGCACACCATCCTCATTGCCTCACTAATATGGCCCAGTAACACCTCTTGGATACTTGCCCTCTGTCAGGTGTTGTTTGACATATTTAATTCACCTGTATTAGCCAGGTTTCTTTTGCTGGGACAAAATGCCTGAGATAAATCAATTCAAAGGAAGAAGGATTTACTGTGGCTCACAAAGGTCTCAGTTCATGGTCACTTGGCCAGATTGCCCGTACACCTGTGGTAAGGCAAACATCATGACAAAGCATGTGGCGGAGGAAAACTGCTCACCTCATCTTAGTCAGGAAGCACAGAGGACAGAGAAGGGGCTGAGGTCAGCTCAAGGGCACACCCACAACAACCTACTTCCTCCACACCGGCCCAGCTTCCTGAAGCTCCCTCCACCAGCAGTAGCCCATTAAGCTATGAATTCATACATGATAAACCCACCGAGGTCAGAGCCCTTGTGATCCAGTCACCTCCAAAGGCCCCTCCTCCCAACATTGCCACATTCGAGACCAAGACTCCAGCACGTGAGTTTTGGGGGACACTCCAGATCAAGCCGTAAGTCCATCTGAAGGTCTGGGAGGGATGCGTTGTCTTTACTCCATTACAGTGATGAGGAGACCAAACTCAAAGAGACTAAATTACTCATCAGTTAGTACAGACGGAGCTGAGCTCTAACCCTCATTGTTGTGGCTTTAAAATCCACACCCTACATCTGACCACCTCAAAGCATGGGTGTTAACGGAAATTAAATATGTGGAAAGTGCCTTATTTAACTCTTCAGTTCCTACTATGTTCTAAATTTATACTATGTCCAGTGTTGGGGGAAATGACTGAATAAATTGTACCTGGCCTTTGCCCTTATGATTTTTATATTTCCAGCCTTGTTCTTTCCCCCAAATATCTACACCACAGTTCCAATGTCTGCTTTGCCTTTCACATGGGACTCAAGTGTCCTTTATCAACTCAGAGCATCACCTGAGACGCTTTCTTCTCCATAAAACACCACTCTCAGGTACTAAACTCAATTCTGATAAATGTCAAAACTTCCCACTCTGGCAGGATGTGCCTCCTCTTCTTTGAGGCATTGGTTTGCCTGGCGAAACCCACAAGGCAATGAGGAGCAAACTGGATGTCAAGGGCAGGCAAGGGCAGACCAGGTGTGGCATGTCCGGCTCTTTCCCCAGGGCAAGCATGGTGTGATTCTTACCGTGAGTAAGATTCTCTGATAAAGCAGCACACTGTGCACAGCAGCACAATGCACGCTTGCCAAGCACCACCGCCTAGCTTTCCTCCTCTCCTAATTCCGTTCCCAAGTGGAGCCACCTGGTTGTTCCCCTCACCATCCTGCCCCAGGCCCAGCCCCGGCTCCTGGTTCATCTACTGATGGGCCAATTGGGGTCCTGTCCCCCCTCTGGACCAAGACATAGCTGGAAAGTGGTGTCACCTGCTCCCTGCAAGGACCATTCCAGCAGCACTCATGGCTTGGGTCACAGTTGGAGGACTTTAATCTCATGCCACCTTGAATGCTTTTTGGGGGCCGGGAGTGGCGGGTACTCGGGACTGAACTCGGGGCCACTCAGCCACTGAGCCCTATCCCCAGCCCTATTTTGTGTTTCAGAGACAGGGTCTCACTGAGTTGCTCAGGGCCTCTCCATTGCTGAGGCTGGCTTTGCACTTGCAATCCTCCTGCCGCAGCCTCCCAAGCCCCTGGGATTTCTGGTGTATGCCACCGTGCCCACTTTAATGTTTTTTTTCTTCTTTTTTCTTTTGTGTTGGCAGTGCTGGGGAATCAAACCAAGGGCCTCATGCATGTGCTCTTCCCAGCCCCACCTTGAGTTTTTACCTGCATGGAGGTCTTGTCTCTCCCAGCAGATTAGAGGAAAAGGGTTGAGTTTGAATCTCCTACACATGCCCTGGAGGAGGGGCCAGGCACCTAGGATACTTGTTAAACTGCAGCATCCTCGGCCTCACAGCAAACCTGCTGAGTCAACCTGTGGACAGAGTTCAGCATCTGTCCTTTCAGTGAGTGCGTGCCCGGGTGACACTGAGCCCTGACCTGGCCTGGGAGCCACCTCCTTGAGCACTGTGGCAACGCAGTCCTTTGGAGCAGCCTGCAACTTGGCTCTTTTTCCTCGCCCACTTTAGACAGGGCCATAATTTGCTGGACCCATTTCCTGTGTTTAGAATGAGAACTAACTTGGGTGTGTTGATGAAAATGAGCGCGGGCTTCCTGCCCTGCCTCAGGTCCCCAGAGGAATGTATCCTAAACCTTTCTGTGTCCTCTTTAGCTATGTGGATATCATGTTGTCCCTACTGAGAGAAAGGTTTCAGTACCTCCTGGCTGTTCTTTCTTATGATCCAACAAAACATGCAGGTAAAGCTGGTTTTATTTTTTCCCCCTAATATTCTGTTTAATTCTCTGACATGAATAAGAATTTTTGGGTCTAATTTATTTCAAGAGAAACATATTACTTGTATGCATGAAGATAATTCTACTTTGGGCTAATGGGAATGATCATTTTTTTTTGTATTCCCATATTATATATGTTTTTCGTATATTCCTTTCACATTTTATATACTATTTATACTCAAACTATAGTTGAAAAGGAAAATGGACGATCCTAATATACAAGAGAAACCTCGTAAGCGCTGGAGTGGAAGGAAGGGGAGATCTGGTCACCCTGCCATGGATACTGCATAGCCATACCATCGTGGTGTGGCAGTGCGCCAGTCAGGTGCTTATGCACACACACAGGTGCCCCCTCACAGGACCAGCTGGGGAAGAAGTGATAGGGTGGGCAGAAAATCTCTAAACCTAAACTTTACAATTTATCTATTGCATCCCATTATGGCTCCCTTGTTTTGAATCTATGAACGGGGTGTTTTCTCCTAGACTCATTTTGCCTGGACACTGAAACTTAACATTTGTCATGTCCGGACTTTAATTTTCAGGGAGAAGTGAAAACCAAATACATAGGCTTTTAATTTTTAAGAATCCCCTTTTGGATTTTTAGTCGAGTTTTTTAAAAAGAGCCTTGTTATATAAATATTTGCATATGTTAGTCTTTTTTTTCTGTCTGAATAAATTAGGTCTAAAAAAACTCATTAAGAGATGAGATCCAGTGCCCCTAATTAAGTCTGAGACAGTTGGATGGAAATAGAAGCTATTGCAGGCAGAAATTAGTTCTGCTAACCTGATCTGAATTCCATTCATGAACAGAGGCCTCAGAAAGGCCCGTGGGAAGGAGACGTAGCGGGCTCTGTCTAGGGGTGGAGTCTCTCTTAAAAGGCAAAGGGAAGGTTCCTAGTAAACTCTGTGCCCCACAGCGGAGGAGGAGGAGCATACAGAAAGTGAGTGGGTGCAGGAGGTAGAAAGAAAATCAGTGCCCAGAAGACAAGAAACCCCAAAGGAATTTACTAATGGACTCCACCCTGATTTCCATGTTCTAAAGATCCATGCTGGCTCAGCCTCTATTTTATCTACACTCGAATGGATATGTAACAAGATCATTCCCTCAATATCCCAGTTTTCTTCTTTGTATGAGATATGCAAAAAAAAAAAAAATACAAACAACAACAACAAAAAAAAAAAAAAAAAACAGAACATGCACATCCTCACCTATTTCGATGACGGAGTTGTGTGTAGAGCAGGTACAACTGGGCCACGGGGAACAGGTGGAGGTAGGCCTGGGGCGCTCATTGCTCTTCAGAGTCAGGTTTATAGGAATCATTCTTCATCCTGTTTCTCTTTTTCCTAGGCCCACCATTTTATGTGCCAGATACTGAAATTCAAAGGTTGTTTGGTAAGTTAGGCTCTAACTTTTTAAGTCCACGGTTAACTGTTTTGAGCTGTTAGTAAACTATTAGTATGTGATTAAAGCCTATGAAATTTAAAAGACAAAGACCATTTTATTGAAAACCGTTGTCTCCTAGAAAAGGAACCAATCTCTATAACATGGCTTTTTGGCTATACGCTTGGTGTTAAAACATTTGAACTCTTCTACAGAGGTGGTATGTTAACTGTTGCTCTTGGGAGTTTTAATTGATAACAATTCAGAGCCCAGAGTTTGTCCTTAGCATTTCCTATTTTGCATTAAACAGAAGAGAAAGAGCCTCAGTGCACACTCCCTTTAAAATCATGTGAAGTGTTCTTAGAAGCACCCTCATGACATTCTTCAGTTTTTCCCCACATTTTTTATTGGTGCGTTATATAGTTGTATGTAAGAGCAGGGCCTGCTGTAACATATTCACACGTGTGCACACAATGTGTCAGTATAATTTGTCCAGCGTCACTCCCTGGCACTCCCCCTTTCCTCTCCTCCTCCTTCCCCTCGGTCCCTTTCCTCTACTGATCTCCCTTTGATTTTCATGAGACCCCCACCCTCACCACCTTTCTTCTCCTTTTTCCTCCCCAGCTTCCACATATGAGAGAAAAATGCGACCCTTGACCTTCTGAGTTTGGTTTATATCACTTAATATAATATTCTCAAGTTCCATCCATTTCCCTGCAAATGACATGATTTCTCTTTTCATTATGGCTGGATAAGCTCCATGTGTATATGTACCACAGTTTCTTTATTCATCTGTCCATTGATGGACACCTGGGCTGGTTCTATAGTTTAACTATTGCTTCACAGAATTTTGACGTGTGACCCTTTCTCGTTTTAGGTACAAAATGCAATATTCTTTGCCTTGAGAAGGTCGACACTTTTGAAGAAAGACATAAAACTTGGGGAATTGACTACATCTTTGAAAAATTGTATCTACTTACCGAAAAGTAAATGAAATATAACTAAAATAAGTCATGTGGTTTTGAAAATCATGCTAAGCCTTAAAAATAGGTGTTTTAAAATTTTTTTAATTTCTCATAAGTCAAATCATAGATCATTGCTCAAAAAGTGCATATAAATTTTTAGAGGAAAACTCGTACTTAAATGTTAAGGTAGCTCCTTTACAGAGGAGTATATAACTGGAGGCAAAATGTTAACCTGTGAGTCTTAAAGATTTTTAAGAATATTTTTTGTAGTCAGCATGTATTCCTTGTATAATTAAAAGATAAAATAAATAATGCATATAACCTACTGACTGGAAAAATTCGCATTTTTATGAAATTTAGAATCATGGAAGAAATGTAACGATTTAATAGGGTTCAAAGTAGTACAAAGCTTATGCAAAAGATGAGCTTTTACTATAAGCAACCATCTTATCCTGAAATCCTAGAATTCACTGTAACATTTTCTCTACATGTAACAAAATCAAGAAACAGATTTTTTAAAACTTAAGTAAACCAACCTATATGGGACAAATGTTTTCTTTCCCCAAACTATAAGAAGAGCTGGCACAGTGACACATGCCTATAATCCAGTGGCTCCAGAGGCTGAGATAGGAGGATTGCAAGTTCAAAGCCAGCCTCAGCAACTTACCAAGGCCCTAAGCAACTCAGTGAGACCCAGTCTCTAAGTAAAATACAAAAAGGGCTGGGGATGTGGATCCAGATGTGGATACTGGATTCAATCCCCAGTATCAAAAAAAAAAAAAAAAAAAGATTCTCATTTCCCCGAGCCCTGTCCCCAGGCCACAGTGTGGGCTCAGAGCCACACATACCCACACATACCACACAGCCAGTTGAGTGAAACAAGAGTGGACCACTGACCCAAGCTGGGCCAATCTGATTCTCTTTTGAGATTTTTGGACTTGGGGCTGAAACAGTAAAACAGTAAGCTGAATGCAGAGAGGGTGAAACTGTAACATGGACCAGGAGCTCTGGGGCAGCCACATCTCACCTAGACATCTGAAAAACAGAATACTGATATAGTCAATCTTTCATGTAATGTGTGTCCTCATTGGAAGAACTTTTTTAAAAGTCTCAAGATAGAAGATATAGGGCTGGGGATGTGGCTCAAGCGGTAGCGCGCTCGCCTGGCATGCGTGGGGCGCTGGGTTCGACCCTCAGCACCACATACAAACAAGATGTTGTGTCCGCCGAAAACTAAAAAATAAATATTAAAAAATTCTCTCTCTTTCTCTCTCAAAAAAAAAAAAAAGATAGAAGGTATACATTGTTTTACAGCAATTGAATTATTCTCAGACTTTTCTAAAAATGCCTTTTATTTCATTTTGTACTTTTAAATAACAGAGGATCTGAACCATGATTCATTAACTGCCTTGCCCTTGCCTACACAGGGTTATGATGTCCAACGTAGGTATTCAAAGTTATCATTAGCAGTCTGGAGGAAACAAGAAAAGAATGTAATAGTCTATGTGGGTGAGTGGGGAAGTAGAAGCACAAAGAGATAGGACCAAAGCTTTCATGCTGACCTCGGTCAAGCCAGGGATTTGGCATCGTGAACAGTTAATGGTCAGAGGACCACAGAAGGTAGCCTGAAAGATGTACCTGTGAGAGAGTTCCCAAATAAAGGGACTCCTGTGCAAATAGAAACCTAACCCACAGAGATGTTAGTCCAAGTAATTTACCTGTTCACAACTGTAGCTACACCTATCACTATTTTATTCTCATAATAGGAACAATCTAGATGTATGCTCATTTATATATGTATATAAGTACATGGCACACACTCAAAGATCTTTCAAAGAAAGATTTCTACTAAATGCTTTCTAAAACTCAAAATTGTCTTGCTGAACATGGTGACACATGCCTATAATCCCAGCTATTTGGAAGGCTGAGGCACGAGGATCACAAGTTCAAGGCCAGCCTGGGCAATTTAGAGAGACCCTGTCTCAAAATAAAAAGTATTGGCAATGTTGCTTCATAGTAGAGTATTTATTTGCCTAGCATGTGCTAGACCCTGGGTTTGATTCCCCAAATACTGCAAAATAAATAATAATAATAGTCTTTAATCCTTATAGCTCTGACTTTTTAGCACTTCTTATCTGATGTGCTTTATTTTTTGCCAAACATTATATTACAGATTCACCAGAGTAGGGCTGAAGTTGTGCCTTAGGGGTAGAGCACTCGCCTAGCAAGTGTGAGGCACATGAATTTGATCCTTAGCACCACATAAATAAATAAAGTGTCCATCTACAACTAAAAAAATATTTTAAAAAAATTCACCAGAGTGGCAGAGTTAATGTAGATAAGATAGGATTCCATACAGGTACCTTAAGCACAGTCACTCTGCTATGTGTGACAAATAGTCATGTTCCAGATTTCTTAATTATATATAACTTTAATGTTCAAATTGAAAATATGCCTGAAAATCTGTTAACCAGTGGAGTGTGTTTTCTTGTTTGTGTGTTTTGTTTTTGGCACTGGGTATTGAACACAGGGGTGCTCAACCACTAAGCCACAATAACCAGTTCTATTTGTATTTTATTTAGAGACAGGTCTCACTGAGTTGCTCAGGGCCTCACTAAGTTGCTGAGGCTGATTTAGAACTCGAGATCCTCTTGCCTCAGCCTTCCGAGCCGCTGGGATTACAGGCGTGAGTAACCAATGGATGTTGATAGAAATTGGTTTCACTACTGGTGAGACCTGTCAACAGAAGGTAGAGGAGAATGGTCAAGGGAAGTGGTATTTAGAAATCAGATACTAGCAATTATTTATACATAAATAATAAAAATGATACTCTGGAAATTTGGAAGGTATAGGAAAGTCTAAGAAGGACAAACAAAAACAACCAAATCTTATTGCTTGAGATGATACTGAAAAGATGGAGATGTGCTTTCTTACTTTTTTGTCCACTTACATATGTGTGCTTTGACAAAAAGTTTCAATCAACCTGGATACAGGTTTGTTGTTTTGTTTTTGGGATATTGGGAATTGAACCCCGCCCGGGGCACTTAACAATACCCCCAGCCTCTTTGAGACAGACTAAGTTGCCCAGGCTAGACTCCAACTTGAGGTCTTCCTGCCTCAGCCTACTGAATAGCCCAGTCACTAAATATTTTACCAAGAACAAAATTTGGTTTTGATGGTGCTGGAGATTGAATCCGGGGCCTCACGCGTGCTGAGCATGTGTTCTGCCCCAGCCCAACATTTTTTGACAGCTGTATTTCTCCTGTCACTGTAGTCAGCATTCATTCAGCAAATGTAGATACAGGCACTTGGATACAGTGCTGAGTAAAACCAGGTGTGGGACTCTCTTATCTCTTCAGAGATAGGCGTGAAAGAAATCGGGAATGAAGATAAGGTGCAGTTTTAAGAGTGTATTACAGTATGGCAATTTGTAAATCAATGGATGTGTAACTGATGTGAATCTGCAATCTGTGTATGGGGTGAAGGTGGGAGTTCATAACCCACTAGAATCAAAGTGTGGAATATGATATGTCAAGAAATTTGTAATGTTTTGAACAACCCACAATAAAAAATTTAAAAAAAAAAAAAAAAAAAAAAAAAAAAAAAAAAAAGAGTGTATTACAAAAAAGCCTTCTGGACTCCATATCTTCAGTTAAGTAGGAACAGAGACAGTGTAAAAGGAGGGAATGCTGGCTTCTGTTGACAGGAACCCCAGTCTAGAAACCGCAGCTACTCCATGGGGCATCAGCAAAGGCCAAAGATAACAGTAGCCAAGAGTGCCAGCCAGGATATGGTGACCCTAAATCACCAAAGGACTTAATTGAGAAAACCTTAATCCCCAATCAAATGCCACAAGTTATATTCCTACATGTCAAATTTACCACTGGATCCTCGACAGTAAATTATGAGGGTAAATTGGGTGTCACAAAGCTTTCCATCACGACTATGCTGTCCAACTAATGCAGTAGAGCAATCACTATGGACATATTTGTTTATTTATTTATTATATTTATTTATTTGGAATCAGAGATTGAACCCCAGGGTGCACTTAAACACTGAGCCACATCCCCAGCCCTTGTGAATTTTTATTTTGAAACAGGGTCTCACTAAGTTGCTTAGGGGCTTGAAAAGTTGCTGAGGCTGGCTTTGAACTTGGGATCCTCTTGCCTCAGCCTCCCCAGTCGCTGGGGTTACAGGCATGCACCCCGGGGCCCAGCTCTGTGGACATTATTGCAGCTTGCTCTGATTTGTCTTCTGAACATCTGCCTCTTTGTATTTCCCTGAGGCCTTGATTAGGCTGCAGCCCCAAGGGCTGACAAAGCTGGTGGTGCAGTACTATTAGTTGCCTCACGGGGGCAACAAAGGATCAAGAAGGTGGTAGGATTAGCAGGTAGTGTGCAGAGGAGTTGAGCCCTCCGGCTCCTCCCTCTTAGAAGTCTGGCAGGACAAGGCTGAAGGGTCAAAGCTCAGCTATAGTCAACAAAGAATTGAGATCTTTGAATATTTTTAAAAGAATGTTGGAGCAGAGACATGTTAGAGCAAATCAAGGATCCACAGAGTCAGTCTGGGAAGCATCTTGAGAAGGTAACATCTCAGCACATACCTGGCCTGCATTTGTGCTGCTCTGAGGGTAGCAGCCAGCCTTATGTGACTGCCACCGGCCACATGTGACTAATGAGCACTTGAAAGGGAGCTAATCTGAACTGGAATGTGCTGTAAGTGAACAATACACACTGGATTTTACTTATGACACACAAAAGAAAGAGTATAACATCTCGTTGATATTTTTTGTAATGATTAAAAAATCAAAGTGACAATATTTGTATATTTGGGGTTAAATAAAATATACACTTAAATTAATATCACTAGTTTCTTTTATAAAGTGTGGCAACAAAAAAATTAGCATGATATAATGTAGCGCTCATATTTCTTTGAGGCAACACTGGTTCTAAAAATATTCCATTTTTTGATGTTCTGAATGGTACTTCTTGACTAAGAAATTACTTCTAGAAGAACTCTCTATTGGGTGTGTTTTAAGTGGATAATTTAGTTGGAATGGAAATGTATTCTGAAATTACGGAACTGAGTTGGTTGTGGTATTCTAATATACAATCTTTGAATCATGTAACAAGTAATAAGGAAATGTTCTTTCTTGTCTTACATTAAGTTTCTCTCCCCGGGTTTTAACAGGTGATAGAACCCTGTGTTCTCAGAAGTCTAGGAAATAAAAGGGTCACTGGTTATGACTGGGATCTCTAAGTGAACAGAATGTCAAGGGCCTCACTCGAGTAAGACATTTGGGTAAAAACATCCTGCAAATGGAAG